TCTTTCAACAGTCAATGATTCAGTCTATGAACTAGCACAGATGGGTTTCTGAAACAAACTGTCTTTAATCCCTTCCCTTTCCCAGAGTTATATCTAACAAATACCTTGTTAGATATAACAGCTCCATCCATAGATTCAGCTTTCACCAATACTGTAAGGTAAAAAATAATCAGAAACCTCAATCCACGCAACAAACAACAAAGATTCTAGCCTACAGCGTGTTTGCTTCATAAAACAACACACATCAGGATTCAGATCTTTGGGGGAAAGAGGATATTCAACTCACAACTCAATTATCAATTGCATACAGTATTCATAATAGAATTTTCAGCGCAACAAATGTATAACCAAAGATTTTATTATATATATCTATATCTATATGCTTGGAAAAGCAATTTATTGGACAAAGAACAGGTAGAGCAAGTTATAAAGATACAGTATTTAGAAGAAATTCCCAAGATCTTTGTGGTCAGTAGATAAAGAGGTGCTGAGGATCAGCATCTGAAATCGGATTTCCAAAGCTCCTTCTCACTTCTTCTCTTTTAAGGAATTCTAAGTTGATCTCTGAGCAAACAGATTGCCATAAATAAGGATGTATATCCATCTGTTGTTTTAAAGCAGGGGTCAGTTTTAGCCTTCATGAAGCCCTCCTTAACAAGCATATGGTTCAGCTTCTTATGCTTGCTTTAGGGTAGAACATTCTTCTGAAGCTTGCACACTAGGCCATTTTTCCTTGGTTCTTCAAAGTTCTATATAGAGATGTCTTCCCCAAGTACAAGAATGCTGTTTTCACATCATTTTGTTTCTTTCTACTGCTACATTAATCCAGTGTTCTGACTGAAGTATGTGTGACCATTGGTGCAAAAATCTCATAATAGTGAGTGGTGGGTTTTTTGGGTTTTTTTGCCAGTTTTTTTTTTGAATTTTTATTTTTATTTTTAAACATAACTAAACATAAAAACAACCATCATTCAATACAATCACAGAAAGTGTGTCATCGGTTAAGATTCGTTTGTGCTTAATCCCAAATCCAAAATTACAAATCATTTAATCTTATTTGACAATTTTCTTCATATCTTTTGTCATTACCTTAATTTCATATTTCATACTTCATCTCCATGCTTTATTATCTAGCCATTCCTGTTCTCTAATTTCAAATGTCAGTTTACTCATTTCAGCACATTCCATAATTTTCTTAATAACTTCATCATTAGGAGGTATTTTCTCTTTTTTCCAATTTTTAGCAAATACAATTCTAGCTGCTGTTAAAACATTCACAATTAAATATCTCAATTCTTTATTATACATTTCTGGTAAAATCCCTAATAAAAACATCTCTGGTTTAAAGTCAATGTGTTTCTTTGTCATTTTTTCTAACCAAGGAGTGTGGATTTTAGTCCAATATCTTTTAGCTTCTGCACATGTCCACCACATATGGTAATATGATCCTGGAGTCTGATGATATTTCCAACATTTCTCCGATTTATTCTTGAACATTCTGGCTATTCTCGTCGGGGGTAGATGCCACCTGTAAAACATCTTATACAAATTCTCCTTATATGCTGTAGACATTGTCATTTTATAATTTTGCAACCACAATTTTTGCCATTTCTCTAAATCAATTCCATGACCAAAGTTTTTCCCCCATGCGATCATTGTTTAACTTGTTCTTCTTCCAGTTTTACCTCTAATAAATAACCGTATAGTTTTTTAATTACATAGTCATCAGAACCCATTAAGATCTTATCTAAATTAGTCATTGTGCATCATTTATAGAAGCTGTCATTTATGCCCAGGTACAATATAGGTCATCTCAGGGTTCAGTGAATTCCGCGATCGTTCAAACTTGTGATGGCACTGAACAAGGGGGACACATGACTAGTCTTGGCTATTGCAGTGTTACTGTGGTCATGTAGATTGTGATCTGTGTGCTTAGCATCTGGGTCACAATCATGATAATGAAGTCACCCGTGGTCACATTATTGTTTGACATTCCCTGTTGGCATTTCAAATAATCAATGGGGAAGCCAGCAGGAAAATCAGAAGTCACTGTCACTTGAGATCTTCACTTAATGACCTGCCTGGTCCTCGCTTAACTATGGCAACCAATACTGCCAGAATTGTCATCCCTAAGCAATGTGGTCATGTGACATCACACTTTATGACTGTGTTGCTAAGGAATGGCAATTACATCCCCATTGCCACTGTATCCTGAGATCCACCTATAAACCATAAGCCTCTCAATGTTTCAATTACGGACTGCCCTGATCTGAAGAAATATCTTTTTACTCAGGCATGATTGCATATACAGTATATCTTTAACTGATCCTTTAAAAGAAGTGTTCTTGAATTCAGACCTGATCTTGAATATTTCTATGAAAATGGTAGATTAAGAAATCTGGTTGGAAAACTTTGCCTGAAATGTATTCTTCGATGCTCAGAAATATTTCCAAAAACAAACAAGGATATGCCTTAATTTACAACTACTTTAATGCTCCCCAATTCCATCTATCTTTGTATCAAATTTCAATCTATACTAGGTTCAAATAATCAGCTTCCTCCATCATCCTCTCCAATTGCTTATTAACCAACTTTTGAACAATTTTCATTAAAAGGGAAGGAACAGGATAATTATCTAAGATTGTCGGATCCAAGCCTCCTTAAAAGCCAAAGAAACTACCTCCTCTCTCTAAAAAAGCCAACACCAACACATGGATCTGATGTTTTATTGCCATAATCAATAAAGATAATCTTAAATAAGTATTCTTGCCCATTTTTGATCAGATATAGTCTTCATCTGCTTCAAATTCTGGGCATCTCCTCTGGAGCTTCAGAGTGGCCACATCTTATTTCACAGCTGTTGAAATCACTCACTCATTAGTTGTGCATTTAGGCACAACTCACAGCACATGTGTGTTCCCTACAGCAGGGCTGTCAAACTTGTGGCCTGCGGGCCGGCTGCATCACATGCTGGCCACACCCACACCTGGTTTAGCGAAGGGGGAAAAAAAAATCCCGATATGTCATGTGACGCAGCCTTGATGACGCGAGTTTGACACCCCTGCCTTAGAGTATGGTGAGGCCATTTGGAAATCCTTTTTCAGTGTTTTCATTAGGACCCCTACCTGTTTAGTCATGAGAGCTAAACATTTTTTTTACATGTATTAACGGCAGCGAGAATAGTATTCGCACAACAATGGAAAAGTAAAGAGATCCCAACAGATGAAGGTGTGATCAGAAAAATATTAGAATGTGCAGAAATTGACAAGCTAACACAATTAAGGAAAAGAAAGAAACTGAATATTTTTTTTTACTTGGGACTTATTTTATCAATGGCTTGCTGACAAAAACAGGATCTAGAAACAGGGAAATATATGAAAAGATCAGTGATATAAGGAAGATATGCTAAATTGGTTAAACAAATAGTATGATTATTACTGTTATTAATATTAGAATAATTGATATTAATACAATGAATATTGTTGTAAACACTTATTACTTCCTAAAATGACTTGTACCCAGCCAACACACTGTTCAATTGAAGTTGGAATTTTTACATATTATAAAATAAAATAAAAACTTATTACCCCCCAAAAAAAAAAAAATGAACAAAAGGTTGGCTTTCAGCTACAAGAAATGTAAATCAGCGGATCAATAATTCAACCGCTTATCCAGATTTAACTGCCATGATAATCATTTGTCCGTGAGTGCAGATACAGTTCTGACAAACTGGACAAATGACATTGTACAGTTTTACAAAATTAACATTATATCTACCAGTTCACCATCTTTGTTACTATACTCAAATAAGAAAAACAGGTAGCCTGTTGTATATTACTTCCCCCACACAGAGTTCTTGTGACTATCAATATTTTTATTAATCAGAATATCTCCTGCCACAGAATATCCTGGTTTGATGAATATCTTAAATATGTTAAATATCAAAAAAAGACAGGAGAAAATACAATCTACCAGCTGCCTCAGTTCAACTTTAAAATACAGAATTGCATCAAAAATCCTTTTTTTTCTTCCTTACCTGAAAAATCTGAGATCATTTGTCATATACTTACAATGCATAAAGAAATATAGGAAACGGACCTAAATATTTATCATTTAACATGAATGTACACTGCTACATTTTTACATTCACATTAGGCAGGAATTGACTCTTAAGTCAGAATTTTCAATTTTTTAAGGCTAATTTTTGAAGGACCTATGAGTTTTTTGGGTTTTTTTAAACTTGAACTCTATCACAAGGCAAAACTCTAGCGATATAAAACTGGCTGCATCTGGTTAATAACGACAACAATTTGCTCTTAGTCTCTCCTGAAACTTAAGTTTTAGCAGAACCTATGTCTTATTTTCCCTCCCTGAGCATAAAAAGAATCTACTTCAGAGTATTTGAGCATCCACTCTTCTATTATTTAATTTATATCCCAACTATATTTTGCACAATTCAAAGAAGTGTACATTATCTTTTCTTCACAACCACCACCTTGGAAGCAGTTAGGGCTGCCTCACTCAGAATTAAGGCTTCTGTTCATAACAAAGAGCTAGAATTCAGTGTCTCCAACTCAAACTCTAACTAAACAGGGAACTGCAAATTCAATGTCTACTTTGTTATGTCCAAGTCTACAGCAAGAACGGCCAATCTCCTCTAATTTCACTTTAATACATGCGTTTATCTTTCCCCATACTTAGTGGATTTAAATAGGGAAATTACACATGCATTCTGGGTCATTATGTGATAGATCATAATGTTTTTTAAAAATAGCTTATTAATTTTTCCTGCCTTTTTATGTCAGATAAAGGGCACCAAGCAAACTTCCTGCAGCTTTTATTTTAATCGGTTAAATAAATTTTCTAAGGCAAGGTCTGCATTAAAGAATCAAAAATCCAGATAAATTCATACAATGAAACAATATTGACATTTTTTTATATAATTACCGTAGCATGAAGTTTACGAGTTTTTATACCTTACATAAAAATTACAGGGACTGTGCAGGTACAGAGGCCTTCACCATCTTTATTTTTGCAAATAACACTTCAAGTAATAGAAAATTTCATAAAACTCAATTATAATGTTTTGAATAACTATCAACGTTTTTGTTAAAGGTGACAAGAGAATTTGAACAATAGGAAATTAAAATAATTTTTCAGAAGAGCTTTGATTACTCTGAAGTCTCCACTCAGTTGATATAAGCTGTATATTCTACTACTTGAACATGGGCAAACATTTCACGTTTTTATTTTCCAATGAACTTCTGTACTTCAAATAGGCAATGTATCTTTTCAAAGAGTGTGATGTGTAGTCAATCTCCACAGTGGTGTATGTAATATTGAAAGAAAATAATCATTAATATAAGAAGTAGAACCCATATCTTTGCTTGCTCAAAGAAGCCATATTATTTCTGGAATTCTTTATTAAAAATACTGCTGTACATGTGAAAAGAATGAAAAACAGGATTAAAAGGTAACACATAGTGGGATCATGACATCAGAATGTAACATACCGGTGCTTTTTAGGGGAAGATGCTCACATCTAGAATTTTACTGGGACAAGGGCAAAATGAAAAACAAAATGAAATCACATTATACACCCCCCAAATATTTACAGTGTAGCAGAAAACAAAAGTCCAAACAAGCAAGTTAAAACAGAACAATTTAAATTTAAACTAGTATTACATGATTTCAAAGGTTGTCCATTCTGTGCTTTATACTATAAAAACAGGAAGGTCGCAATTATTTCCTTGTGTGGAAAAAATAGGCATTGCTTTTCAAAAATTCTTATTCAGCTTTAGAGATGACATAAATGACTCTTCCTCTGAATGGAACATGCTGGACAGCCTTCTCACTGGAATTGTACTGGAGTGGTAGAATTCTCCCCCCAAAAAACACCAAGTAGAAAATTCAAAAACATGGACCACATAAAAACAAAACAAAACAAAATTCCATGTTGTTCTATGCATCACCCAACAGCAATTATTTCTAGGTAACAGTTACATATGGAAATTTATTGGCTCTCTGCACTTTTCATTTTGTAAAATTTACTTTAAAACAAGTCCTGAGATTACTGGGGCCAAGGAATGGATACCGTGTGCTGACAAAGATTTGCAAAATGCAACTTGTCTTTATGAGGTGGGCCTTGCTTACTTACGCAGCGAGGAGGAGCCTGAAGCCCTGCTTTACCCCTGCCTTTGCATTTCCTGAATTATTGGTCCACAAAATAATCTGTCAAAAACTTTCCAATTGCTGCAACTGAAGAGATGATCCCCTTTCATTAAAAAAAAAAAGACCAAAACAAAACACAATAGTGGGAAAAAGAAGCCTCAGCCCGCTTATAAATAAAGCATTCAATATTTCTCCTAGAATACAATTACTACTTCTTTTTGTACAAAAGAATTACAATATGATTTTCAAAAACATATAAAAAGACAGCTGCTCTTCATCAAATACATGAGCTAATGATAAAAGACTGGTTTCCCATATTCGTATCTTAAAGTCCCTGTTCCTTATGATATTAAAAAATAATGTTATGGCAACTGTTATCTTCTAAATAATAAACGTTATGGTTTAATTTTTCTGCCAGATTAAAATAATTGGCTTTTATTTCTTTCAGCTCATTGATTGATACTATTAATTTTCAGGCTCCGTTGTGTTTAAGTAAAGGTGTTAAAGGTGGGCTTTCTTTTCCAAAGTCTTCATTATGAAGAGCACTGTTTTCTTGTGGATAAATCTAAAGTAAGAGTGTCATCATTAAAGCTTATAAAACTGGAGAGAACTATTAAAAATTTATCTGAAATTACAAATATCAAGAATAAAATGGATGCCAGTAACATCAGTTGGAAGTGCTTTGAATCAGTTCTGACACCTTTTGGAGAAAGTTTCCACATTTTTCTTCATGGTAAGCACCCAGTGCTATTAAATATTCAGTGCTGGGTAAAGGAGGCCGATATACAGTCTTCACTACCGCTTTGAGAAAGGAAAAAAAATAGTCCTATATATTTGGCAGTCATCCGTATCAAAGTGTAGATGTTCTACTATAAATTCCCTTGAATACCCAAGCTTGCAGACAATAGTGGATCCAGTATTGGAAAGTTAATTAAAGGGGAAAATCCAGACTTGAAGACTGAATATTCATGTGTTGAGTATTATCAAAGATAATATTACTTTGGGCTAAGCAGTGACTGCAAAGGCACAGCAGACCGTCATTCCTCCAGAATCAGACTATAACACTTCAAAAGCTTTCGATGCCAGACAACTGCTGTGTGTACTTAATCTTCTGAACAGTGTCTCTGTATCTGTATCCAGTGTAAAGTACCATAATAAAGCTGTGGTTCAAAGAACAGAACTTTATACAAAAGAAGGATACTATAGGTAACTTAAAGGAATACATTCCTGAACTCTCAGGACTGCAACAATTATTTTTTTTTAAAAAGTCTATTAAAAATTGCATAAATGTAAATGTATCTGATTAGCAGGAAAATATAGAAACAGGTATTTTATTTAAAAGGCGCTGGTTGTGTTTAGAACAAATCGGGTTTACCCCAGAAAGTACAGTACACAACTCAAAATGGTGCTGTTTCGCTTTGACAAAGCTTCAGCCAAATAAAAGGGATTTTGTATATGATGTTTCTGAGATATTTTACTTGATTTTTTTTTTTTGTCTTTAAATACTCATCTTCTTGTTTGATTAATTAATCAAACAGTGGATGGCATGTTATACAGTTTTACAGAGGTTACAAGCTACACTGTAATTTACAGAACACAATTTCTATGAAATTATTTATCTGGTCCTTTATAGTATTTTGGAGTGCAAATAATATCAAAACCAAAAGATTGCAGTATATTCAGTGGCAAAAAAAAAAAAAAAAAATCCCAGAAATGTCTTTGCAAAGAGATTCCCTTAGTAAGATCCAATGTGGCAAAACATCAGGGATCAGAAAAGTCTTTAAAAATTAAAATTAGTGCATATACAAGTGGGGAAAAAAAAATAAAAGCAGGAACATCATGCTCTTGATGTGCTCCTTTAAAATAAATTCTTCACAGATAAAGCCTCCAATGGCAGCCAGAGCTCCAGGGTAAGCAAAAACATTCTTCCCTTCAAGTAACAGTGTACCTGACCGAAGTGCACCATCTCATGGTGTTTTGTTTCCCAAAATGTGAAATGAGATGATGACAATCTGTTGTAGTGCAATTTGCGCTTGGTTCTGTTCATCAGCAATGTCCTGCATGCTTTCCTGCAAACACTACAACTGGCCATTTGTGGCTGCAATCAGTTCCTGAAAAGTATTTTCAAAGCAGCGTTTTAGGTCGCTGTATGCCACCACAAGGACACTCTTCTCATCTCTGGAAATGAGGCTTATTTTTTCTGGCACACCAGCATCTAACTGAAATAAAAAAGGAGACAATTTTGTCAGGACTATTTGTTAATAGAGCTTAATAATCAGCAACAGTATTGGCAGGCAAAAGAACTTTTTTTTTTTCTTCGTTGATTATCCCAGCATTCTAGTTAAGAGTACCTTTTGATTTAATGACAGCATCAGCCTTTTTGGGATAGGAGCCTATTTTAGGATGGCAGTCTTGCCTTAGGAATCTTTGCCCACTTTTTGCCTAGCAAAAGCACTCCATATCTGTCAGATTGTGAGGGCATCTTCTGGGCAGAGCCCTCTTAAGGTCACCCCACTGATTTTCAATTGGACCCAGGTCCAGGCTCTTGCTGGGCCATTCAAAACTTTGATATTCTTCTGGTGAAGCCATCTGTTTTTTGTTGTTGATTTAGAGGTGCTTCAACAAAGTATTAATTTAATAGAGTGTACACATATGCAACCATGTTATTGTACGTTTTTTATTATTTTTCCCCAAAACATTTCACTTTGTTTTTTTTTTTCAATTGAATTATACTGCTTACATGTTATATTAAAAGTGGAAAAAAATCTGAAGTGATTTATCTTTTTTTTATATCTCAAAAACCTAGCATTTTAACAGGGGTGTCTGGACTTCTTATATCCACTGTGTATTTCTAAATTGTTGAATGAAGAACTGAAATATTCAATTTTGAAGAAACAGTGATTCAGATATTAAAAAGCATAACATATAAGAATTAAAAATTAAATTAAATTTTTAATTTAAAAATTAAAATAATCCATCATAAATTTTTATTCAATGTTTACTAGACCCATCAAAATGTTCTAAAATGATTGGATGTTGAATTTTTGCTTATTGGTATTGTATGAAATGTGAAGACTCTTTAACCCACACATTCATACCTTATTCAGCTGTAGCTTCAATTTTATTTCAAATTATCATTTTATCATTACATAATATTATAAATATTCAATTTATAAGATATAATATGATATTGAATATGATATTCAATTATGTTTCCAAAATGATGAAAGTTTTAGCAATCCAGCAAAGATAAATGGAAACAAATGTTTATTCATCTGATTTTAAAGGATGGGGTTTAGGATATAATCTGTTATTATTTAAAATACTTTGTGCTTTATAAATCAGAAGATGGAGCAATATATTTCCATATGTACAGTATCAGTGGTGGGTTGCCCCCCAGTTCGGACCGGTTCGTAATAACCGGTAGTAAAACCGGCGGGAGGCCCCTCCCACCGCCCCGGATGTCATCAGCGATCTGCACATGCACAGAAGCAAGGTGCGTGCACGAGCGAAGCGCATATGAGCGATCCCATTGCGAACTGGTAGTAAAGGTAAGTGGAACCCACCCCTGTACAGTATGTCTAGATTTAGTGATAGGTTTAAATGGAATTAGTTTTATACTGATATGTGTCTCTTTTCTTCTTTTCCCCATTAGCCTTTTTCCTCCTTTTGTCATACTTAAGTTATTTTAATCAGCATAATATACAGGTGGTCTTTATTCCTCACAGTATAACTATCATTTATCTTTTGTTCTCCCTGTTGGTGTTGTACTACATTATTTAAAAAATGAATACACTGTTGTCTGAAATCACAGTTTCATCTGTGCTTGTTTTAATTAACAGTTTAAATTAATTCTAAGTATGTAAAATGAAATAAACCATAAAGATAAAGGTAAAGGTTCCCCTTGCACATATGTGCTAGTCGTTCCCAACTCTAGGGGGTGGTGCTTATCTCCGTTTCAAAGCTGAAGAGCCAGCATTGTCAAAGACATATCCGTGGTCATGTGGCCAACATGACTAAATGCCAAAGGTGCACAGAACACTGTTATCTTCCCACCAAAGTGGTTCCTATTTTTCTACTTGCATTTTTTACGTGCTTTCGAACTGCTAGGTTGGCAGAAGCTGAGACAAGTAACGGGAGCTCATCCCATTATGCGGCACTAGGATTCGAACCGCTGAACTGCTGACCTTTTGATCGACAAGCTCAGCGTCTTTGCCACTGAGCCACCGCATCCCCCTAAATAGTTCTTTTTAAAATTAAAACTGTTGCTCACAACCATGTTACACGAATAAAGGAGAGTGTGTGATATTGATGTTTATCGTCTGAACTTCCTTACTGCTAAACTATTCTTTAGTGGTTTTTCTGAAGCAGGTCTGTCACATGCAGCACCCAACTGATGAAGCGTTCATACGACAACTTAGAGTGCCACCATTGAGTCGGGTGACTGCCAAAGGCAATGACAAACATGCATTTTGAGAGAAATTTGCTTGCGTGCCAAAGCGAGGCAAAAAAACGAGCAAAAAAGACAATTCTGCAAATGGATTCTGCAAATGGATTTGCAATGAATGAAAAAATATTGAACTTCTAGCTCACCTTGTTAAGACAAGAGATAATGTGACTGAGATCAATCCAAGGAGTACCCGCTTCTGTCACCTGATGGAAAAGATGATCCCTAAAAAGCTTCAGGAGATACCTGTCTCCAGTTTCTGACCATGTCGGATCCTTCTGGAACCTATCGTAAAAAAAGGGTGTTTAGGTTTCTCATTAAAAAGACACATAGTTCAGCCTACAAATATTTGTTTATATATGTTATATTTAGTTTTAAGAAAAAGAAGTCTTCAGAATTCGAGAGAGCCAAAGCTCATTACCTCTAAGGTATCATTTATAAATGTATTATTACGGGATTTACTAACTTCCTCAATTTGATCAGATTCCTAAAAAATGGGCTGATTTTAAATTAATTTTAAATTAGTCATGCTCTATATTTTTCTCTCTCAATGAAATAATCTGGATATTTTGAAAGATATATCATACAGGCTCTTATATAATAATTCTGTACTTTCCAGCATTCAACATGAAATATTCCATTACACAATTTCACGTTTTGGTATCATTCATTACTGTGGTCAGACTTACAGTGTCCAGGAGAATGCACTCTCTATAAATATCAATTTTTGTTCCCAATATCCAGAATTGGCACTGTACCACTGTATGCACTTGGAGGCTGTTTGTTGCTGTTGGAAGAAAAAACTGAAATACCTTCCCAAAAAGAAACTAACAGTTTGGAGTTTAAAACAGTTACAAGTCTCATGAAAATGCAGGAAATTGTTAAATTCTATGAAGTACTGCCTTGCACTAATTATTTTTAGCTTTCAGACAAAACCTCAACTCAAGGAATGTTTGTCCCTCCAGACCATGAGTAATACCTGTGTAGGTGTGTGTATGAGTACATATGTATATAAAAATCACATATCATAAAATTTTGATGGGGATATTGATGAAAATAACCTAGTTAATGTTTTCAGAGCCTGATATACTTTAAAACTTAACCCTACATCAGGGGTGTCAAACTCGTGTCGTCAAGTGACATATCGTGACTTTCCCCTTTGCTGAGCTGGCCAGCACGTGACGCATCTGGCCCACAGGCCGCGAGTTTGACAGCCCTGCCCTATATAATTATTTGAGCTCTCCAGTGGTGCCATTTTTAAAATAATGTAATGATTAAAAATTTTGAATTCCTTACTCTGGTCTTTCATTGATTGTTCCCAATTTTGCAAGAAGACGAAATAATCTTCCATTCTGAACTTCCTGTAAAAGAAGATATAAGAGACAACTTGGCCTGAGCAATAATAACAGCAGCAACAACAAATAACAAGAATACTACAAATTAAAAGAAAACCCAATATATAAATATTTCAGCCCAATGACAAAATGTCAGGAAAAAATGTTAGGTATCTATTCAAATTTACCAAGAGAGCTAAGTCCTTCCTTCCCTGTGCTGTTAAATCATTTAGTTTGTAATCTGTAAGCCCTCCAATGCTAATACTAGTTACAATGATAAAATGGCAGCATCGATTATAACTGAAATCACACATACCTATAGGAGATAGGATATGGTGAGGAACTTGATGCAGTAATTTCCTGAATCCTACAAAAAATATTCACTTAATAAGTAAGTCAAGGTAATATATAGGCATATATTAAGGTGTCATTATCAAGGTGTCATAGGCATATGACACCTACATCCTATTGTAAAGATTATAGTTCCCTCACCGTCACATAACTTGAAGTGCCATGGCCACAATTCCAATGAAGGAAGATGTGATCCCTTTGAGGCGATATTCCTAATGAGGAATAGGACTAGGGCTCATTAGAAAAAAAATAAAATAAAAAGTATACAAGCATCCTAAGAGCTCTAAAACAATTTATTTAACCTGACTTGAGTAATATGCAGAATATGAGTACTAAAATTATAACTCTAACCTAAGAAATAGTTACAACCATTAGTGACTCTTTAGACCAGAAAAAAGAGAGAAACAACTGAACCAGTTAGCAGTATACATGAAGTGATTAGCAAGGAAAAGAACATCTGTCAAAATTAGCCATATAAAGGAGAGTACTTTTTCACACAGTATACTAAACTAGTGAACTGTCATCCCTAAGGGCAGTTATGGCCATATCACGGATGGTTTTTGCATGACACAAATTCATCAAGGATAAAGCAATTCATAGCTACTTTGCTAAATTTGCTTTTTAAAGAACCCCAACTATTTATTTGTAATGATGGCTCTATATTATTCGTATTAGCTGAGACTACAAACTTCTGAATATATTATTTCGAAACATAAAATAACAGCATACTGATATCCTGTTCATAGTTTCCTATCCATCTATGTGGCCACCATACAAACAGGATGCTGTTATCAGAAAGTCCACTGACTTAATCTACATATCTATGATATTCTGAAAATGCCTTGAAACAAGCTAAATCCATTTGCACACAGCCAATGTAGGGGGGGGGGAAATGACCGTAGACTGCAGTGTAAAGTGTAGGGTACAGTAAGGTATTTTACCTTTGCAAGATCTTCTTCTATAACATCATTCCTCATTTGGGCAGCATCCAACTGAGTATAGAATCTTGCTCCAATCATAGGCATTATATCATTTACACTTCGAAGCCTGTTTTGGTCAGTCAGCAAATATCTATCAAAAGAAATTCCTAAAAATTATTAAAACTGGATTTCTAAGCAAAATTCTTGACAATGAAAGTATTTGTTACTCTATAAATTATAAATACAAAGACAGATACAACTAGTATATGTGATGTGAGCAAATAAAAGATTTCAAGTGAACTCCTTTCACTGAAATTCAGTGAATAAACAGCTGGTTTTCCAAAAGCCAAAAGCCACCTAGTGAATTTCATGATAAAACTGGAATTTTAACTTAAATCTTGCATTAAACAGGTGCAGGAGCAAATGTAAATTACTATAGACTGCCAAAATTTGGAGTTAAAGATAAAACGTATTCGTGTGCGCGTTTTAAAAAGACAGTACTGCTAATTTATGTTAATTAAAATTGGTCTTTATTTTTCCTTATTGGTGGGTAAGTGAGTTTTGTTCTACAACTCCTCAAAGTAGAGACTCTTCTGGGTCTCTATCATCATGAAGAATTCTTTTCATAGTTATGCTTTTTTGATATCAAAATATCTATAATATAGCAATTATACACACATATTTTCCACAAATAAGGTACTATTATTCTATAATCAAGTTTTCTTACAAAATAAGATTCTTCAAATCAGAGGAATAGTTGATTGTCACCAGTTCCATTGCTTTCTGCAAATTCTCTCTCTGAATTCCTGCCAAAGAATTGCAAGCCAAAGCCAGCACAACCTTCCCAAGAGAGATCAAATCTGCTTGCTACAACATAAACATAAACAAAAACACACACACATTCATTCACTGGGATCTGAAATGCACTTCATGTTTTAACACTTTTAAGATAAGTGTGCTATACAAATGATAATTTGTAATGAACAAAACTGCACAATATACCACTGATTTTATCTTCTGGGTGATTTTAATAAATACTATTGGTATTTATTAAATAATGGATTCTGCTCTTTCACTTTCCTTAAGCCAATTTCCATCTCTGTGGAAAGATTTTGCTTCTCACCAGATATTCTTCATTAACCTTTGGCAAGTATCGTTCATCAGTTAGAAACTTGTAATTCAAAGCACTTTCATTAACTGCAAACCACCTTTTTCCAAGGCTTTCTACATCCTTCAAAAACATCACAGATACACAAAATGTTGAATGAATATTTAGGATTATGATAACCCATTGTTTGTTTATTACTTTTAGGTTGTTTGTACACTAACAGTAATTAACAAATATTAACATGAATGTCAATTAATCATGTTGTATTCCTAATAATATTACTCTTTTAAATAAAGACAAACTCTCAAAAGTAACATAATTATTTCTTCTTAATATAGTGGCTGGGTTTGCACATCATGATAAAAAGGGTTTGGTTTTGTTCTGATTTAATCTGATGTGTAAATTAAGCCATTTTAGTTTATAAACCACCATTTATGGATTAGTCTATATCAGGCCACAGGAACTATGATTGACAAACTACCTAACCAATCATTCAGTGTTGCATATAAATTTGATTGATAAACAAAAAAAAAAAAATGAACTGTGGCTTAGTATAATATTTAACTGCAATCACACTGCAACTGTGTTGAACTATCTAAAATACTTGCTATGAAAGATGGAAGAATAATCACCAGAGTCCCAAATTTTCCAAATGCACTTGAATGTTCAAATAATTATCTGCTCCAGTTTTCTAAGGATCCTATATGAAATTCAGTCCTTCTACTTATATCCTCTGCAGTTTGTGTGATCTTATTCATTTTCATTAAATGAAAAATGATGTAATAATAATCACTGAACAATTCCTTATCGTGACCACATATTCCCTGATGCTTCATTAAAAAACAGTCTTTGTGCAATTTTAAGTAGTCTCAAATGCAGAAGGGTAGAAATACAACATGCTCCCATTCAATTAATGCTGTCAGCCATTTTGATGTTTATGTCTATAATGATGCAAAATATGCTCCAGTTTTCCTTCACACTGCTTGTTTCTTACCTCCACATATTTTTCTTTTTTGTTGCATTCTTTTATTTTTCCCCTCAATTATGTTTCTTCCTTTCAATACTTGTTTTTTCCTCTGATTCTATGATTCTATTTATGTCCATACTGTACAGCAGTCTTTATTCATGTGGCTGAAACAGACTATGAAAAATAGACTGCAAGAAATAATGCATGCTTTTCTTATGGCCTTTCTAATTCATCTGTTGCTCCTATCCTTTTCGAATTAAATATGTAAGATAATATAGTGTAATGGTGTTGCTCTCGACAAGCAAAACACTTTCAAGGGTCTATGTGCTATGTAATCTTTAATTCTGATTAAATAAGCAACATCAATTTCAAAAGAAAAATATTACTGAATATTACTGATAGTAGGAATAAGTATATATTAGTTAGTCAATAACTTGAGAATTAAGCTTCATTTTTAGCTTTGTCTTTTCTCATTAAAAAAAAATGATCTGAAAATAAGATAATAAGATAATTCCACAAGCATTTATCATAAATTGCCTTCAAATTTCTAATAGTCTTGTTTAGCTGACATTTACATAGCTATTTGCAACTTGATCTGGTTCTGAAGACTAGCTGTTAAGTGGACAGTTAGAAATTTAAACATTGAAATTTAAGTTCAATAGGCACAAACGAAAATTCAGAGATTAGAAAAAATGTATTTCTTAAATTGTACATATAGTATTTTTGCCTGCAGGAAACAATTAAATAGAAGCTAAGATATTGAGCATCATATAGTCCAAATTCCAGTATCAAGGCAATAACTTTGTATGGCCAAGTGAACTCCAAATACAGGTAGTCCTCATTTAATAACACTAATTGGGACCAGAATTTCTGTCACTAATGATGTGGTCATGAAGCATTTCACATGGCCATACTACTTAGCAACAACAGTTCTGGCAGTTTCTGGTTATTGTCATTAAGCAAAGCCTGTGTAGTAGGTCATTAAGTGAGGATCTCACATGACTGTGACTTCCAACTTCCCGCCAGCTTCCCTTGGCAGGGAAGGTTAAAAAACATGATCACAGGGCCCCAGGGGCCCTGTGACAGCTAATACTTCAAGAACTGGATGTAAGTACCATTAATTCAGCACCATTGAAAAGTTTGAATGGCCTCTGAACGGGTGATTGTTAACCAAATACCTCCTGTAATATGTAAAGTCTCCTTGACTTCTTCATAAAAAATAAGTTTCAATTTAAATCCATTCGTAATTTTTAAAAAATCATTCTCAGATTTGTTCCCATTTTACCGTCTGACATAGCTTAATTAGGAAAAAGCATTATGTAGTGTGCAGCAGAAATATTCCAGGTGATGAAAAGACTTTCAGAAGTGGGCTCAGCTACTGGATTATATTGCAACAAATCTTAAAGGCAGGTTAAAGAAAAGCTGCCTGCAATCAAAGAACTTCAGCCAATTTTTGGCAGTGATTTAATAAATATTTTGTGAAGACTGGCAAGAGATTTGGGTCTCAATTTACCTTTGCGGCCTGACATGTACAATTTTTTGGAGATGGTTCAGGTGGCCATTTATGTATTTCACTGCCCTCCCAGCAATGCTTTCACATTTTGGATTGAGGCTTATCACCCACTCTGAATCTTAACATTTCAATCAATATCTCTTTCTTAAGATAGTTAGAAGATATATTCCTTTTTTCCTTTAATATCTGAAGACATATCTGACTTCCAATCTGAGAGACTACTACAGTACACTGTTAGAGAGAACAGTATGAATAGTGAAAATGGACTCTAAGAGACTGAGTTTAATTTTTACCTATGTTATGTGTACTATAAAAACCAAAGAGCAGGAAAAGAAAGTCTACTTCTCTCATATTTGAGAAAAAATTAGTATCATATTTATTCTGTTTAAGTGTAAAGGTATAAATAGTTTCTGGGTTAAGTGCAAGGTAGTTCACATATTTCAATGTAACAAACTTTTTTTAAAACTTACCACATTATATATTGCTCCTTTAACTAAAAACAGGGGAGTGCAGAATTTATCAAGAAAAATTCAAGGAAATACAGTTGCAAGAAAAAGTATGTGAACCCCTTGGAATTACGTGGAGTTTTGCATGAATTGGTCATAAAATGTGCTCTGAACTTCATCTAAGTCACAACAATAGAAAAACACAGTCTGCTTAAAATAATACTACACAAACATTAGATGTTGCCATGGTTTAATTAAACATAACATGTAAACATTCACAGTGCCGGGAGGAAAAAGTATGTGAACCTTTGGACTTAATAACTGGTTGACCCTCCTTTGGCAGCAATAACCTCAACCAAACGTTTCCTGTAGTTGCAGATCAGACCTGCACAACGATCTGGAGTAATTTTGGACCACTCCTCTTCACAAAACTGTTTCAGTGTAGCAATATTCTTGGGATGTCTGGTGTGAATCGTTCTCTTAAGGTCATGCACGGCATTTCAATTGGGCTGAGGTCAGGACTCTGACTGGGCCACTCCAGAAGGCGTATTCTGTGCTGTTGAAGCCATTTTTTGTTGAATTACTTGTATGCTTTGGGTTATTGTCCTGTTGCATCACCCATCCTCTGCGGAGCTTCAGTTGGCGGACAGATGGTCGTACGTTTTCCTGCAAAATGTCTTGATAAACTCTGGAATTCATTTCCCCTTCAATGACAACAATCCGTCCAGGCCCTGAGGCAGCAAAGCAGCCCCAAACCATGATGCTCCCTCCGCCATGTTTTACAGTGGGGATGAGCTTTTGATGTTGGTGTGCTGTGCCCATTTTTCTCCACACATAGTGTTGTGTGTTCTTCCCAAACAACTCAATTTTGGTTTCATCTGTCCACAGTATATTTTGCCAGTAGTGCTGTGGAACATCCAGGTGCTCTTTTGCAAACTTCAAACATGCTGCAATATTTTTTTTGGACAGCAATGGTTTCCTCCGTGGTGTCCTCCCATGTACTCCATTCTTGTTTAATGTTTTCCTTATTGTAGATGTGTCAACAAAAATGTTAGCATGTGCCAGAGATTTCTGTAGGTCTTTAGCTGACACTCTAGGATTCTTCTTACCTCATGAAGCATTCTGCGCTGTGCTCTTGCAGTCATTTTTACAGGACGACCACGCCTAGGGAGAGTAGCAACAGTGCTAAACTTTCTCCATTTGTAGACAGTCTGTCTTACCGTGAACACATGAACATCAAGGCTTTTGGAGATACTTTTGTAACCCTTTCCAGCTTCATGCAAGTCAACAATTCTTGATCGTAGGTCTTCTGAGAGCTCTTTTCTGCGAGGCATGGTTCACATCAGACAGTGCTTCTTGAAACCAGTAAACCCAAAACAGGTGTGTGTTTTTAAAGGGCAGGACAACTGTCAGCAACACATCCAATATCATCACACTGATTGGAGTCAAGGTTGGCTCACTCCTGGCTCCAATTAGCTTTTGGAGAAATCATTAGGCTAGGGGCTCACATACTTTTTCCTCCCTGCACTGTGAATGTTTACATGTTATGTTCAATTAAACCATGGCAACATCTAATGTTTGTGTAGTATTATTTTAAGCAGACTGTGTTTTTCTATTGTTGTGACTTAGATGAAGTTCAGAGCACATTTTATGACCAATTCATGCAAAACTCCACATAATCCCAAGGGGTTCACATACTTTTTCTTGCAACTGTACATGAACATTTTTCACAGAGGTGAAGATTTGGGACAAATTCCGTCATTTAAATTTGGACGTCATTCAGATTTGGAAAGTATTTTTTAAGATTGAAAAGAGTTAAATACAGGAATACTACACAGGAATAAGTACACATATATTTGCTGATTTTTGAAAGCCAATAAAAAAAAAATAGAAGGCTTAAAACATGCAGATTTGCTACAAATCTAATATGTATGTATATATGTATACATACTAGTAATTTTCACTTGTTTTAGGTATGGTGACATCCTACTACGAAAAGAAAAAAATGAAGCATTTTCCCATGCAATCTAGATATGGTCAGTGTGATGATGAAAACCAAGACAGGTATGATGAAGATGACTTTCCTGTTCCATCCTTGCCCCCTCTCAATCATGAAAGGCCTCTCAAGTACCTGTGACAGCGGTACTTTCCACTGGACTAATAGAGAGGGTTACAGCTTGATTTTCTGGGTTATCCCTCCATATCAACAGATCCACACCCTATGAGAGGCTTCTGGGTAGACTGGGAATGGGAAGAAAGCATAGGAAATAATTTCTTGCCTACTCTTGTCTATAGGCTTTTGTTTTCACAAAAACAGGTTCAACATGATTTTTCACCTTTGCCATTGCCAAGTAACTTATTTTTTGCTTCACAGTATATGTATATAAACGCTTTTTTAAAAATTATATGCCCTTATCAATTTTAACACCATCTATTGGAACTTATTCCTTGTCATGCTTGTCCCAATCTGGTTTGCAGAATCTGCTTTAGAATTATATACTGCTCAAAAAAATAAAGGGAACACAAGCAGAAGACATCCGAGATCTGAATGAATGAAATAGCCTTATTAAATACTTTGTTCTTTACATACAGTAGTTTATACACTGCTCAAACAACTAAAGGGAACACAAAACTACTGTATGTAACGAACAAAGTATTTAATAAGGCTATTTCATTCATTCAGATCTTGGATGTCTTCTGCTTGTGTTCCCTTTATTTTTTTGAGCAGTGTACATTCCTTATAGGTAGGACCTGTCTACTTTTTTGTTTTTGAATGTCTGATTATAGTGAGAATAGTGCCAAAAATTACAGTGACAACCAATTAAAAATCTTAAATTACCAACATGTAAATTAAGATAGTTCGTGAAGTAACATTGCCAAAGGTTTACTAGCAGCAAGCATCAAAGCAGCTACATACAGGAAATAAAGAAACTTCATATATTAAAAAAAAACATGATAGATACTCCAAGATAATCACCAACAAATATTCAGTGAGCAAATAATATAAAATTAGGGATATAATACTTGATCTTACCTGATATTGGGCCATTAGAGCCAAAGGATTATTTTGGCTGTTATCAAATGTTAATACATCAAAGACTCCAACGCAATTTACTCTCAACCTTCAGGATAAAAGCATTATAGGAAAATAAGTTTATAAACTCCTCTTTTCACTTCCTCTACAATCTCTTCAACAATTCCATAGAAAGAAATGAAAGCAACTACCGTTAGTAAATTAATATCATATTAATAGGATAATATCACATCCTAAAAGTGTATGGTTTGTGATTCATGTGAGCTGGACAGAACATATGCACGAACAGGCAGGCAAGGAACACACAATAGAAAAGTGTTTTGTGCACTTTCTTTCTCTTGCTATTCAAGAAGAAATTGTGTCACAGAATGTTGTATATTGCCCTAGAGTAGTCAATCAAAAGTAGATAGATACATTGTAAGTTTATGTCTACTCTTCTACCCCTTATGCTTTGCATGTTTATAAAGATGTCAGGATAAGTATTACTACTGACACAGCTTCAAAAATTACTGAATTTTTTTAAACCAAAATCCTTCAAATGTGCTATCACTTGATACTTAATATTATTAGATTAAGACTGCAATTGTAGGAAACTACTTGGTAATAGATGGTACTCAGAACTAAGGAACCTATATCCGTAAGCTTGAAATCCCACAATTCCTCTAACTACTAGAATTAGATATACAGGTCCTCGATTTACGACAACTAAGCCCAAAATTTCTGTTGCTAAGTGACACATTTGTTAAGTGAGTTTTGATTTTACAACCTTTCTGGCCACAGTTGTTAAGTGAATAACTGCAGTTGTTAATAACACAGTTGTTAATGGAGTTGAGGTTCTGCATTGACTTGGCTTGTCAAATGGTCGTGAAAGGTGATCACATGACCCTGGACACAGCAGCCACCATAAATATGAGTCAGTTGCCAAGCATCTGGATTTTGATCACATGACTATGGGGATGCTGCAATGGTCACAGCTGTGAAAAACGATCATATGTCACTTTTTTCAGTGCCACTGTAACTTTGAACAGTCACTAAATGAACTGTCATAAGTCAACTACTACCTGTACCAAATTCTGTTATAATTAGATATAAATTATCTTAGCTCTACGTCATCTTCTAGGCTGAACTATTAACAAGGATGAATATGAAGGACTGTTTGATTCTTAGCAGAATGGATGCAAAAGGCAAGCTTTTAGGTAGCAAAGCAGGTGATAGAGATCTGGTAATATATTAGGAAAATGTCTTACCTTGTTTTGCCTGTCACCAGAATCTTTGTGGGATCCATTACTCGACAGGCCAATCCTGCTGTATGAATAGTCCGCAATGCCGAGCTAAGCTGCACAATATAGGCCCAAATCAGGGACTCGGGCAGCAACCCTGCATGTTGTCGGGGCAGAGGTCCATCATGCTGACCTATGGCAGAATTGGGAATATAAATGAACTCTATATTTGCAGATTTATACTACACGTAGCAATTTTTAATTCATAGTAAAACTAAAACTTTTGGGCCAGGCCCAAATTTTGCCTTTTAGAAGGGCTTAGGAAGGCTTTTTCAGGGTTTTCATGGTTGTCCCAAAGATGCTTTTTCAAGAGGCAACTTTGAAGATGTTTCTTCTTCAGCTTCTTCACAGTTGAAGAAGCTTCTTGGATGAGAAGCGAAACATCTTCAAAGAAAAACCAGAAAGTCCAGTTACCTCTTGAAAAAGCACCTAAGTGTAAGGTACTCATTCCCCCATTAAAGCAAAAGAAACGAAAGGGTCCCCCAACCTAAAATCAGGTCCAGTTTGGACACTGTCACCCCCTACCTTTATCCTGTAGTCCTCACATGCCACATAAAATTTGGTGTGACCCTTGAGTACAAATACGCTGATGTTCCTTAAAAGTTGTACTGAATGAACTATTATATTCTGTTACGCGATATGTGAATCAGGCTTTTCGGATGTGTTGCTGCAGCTTTTCACAATCCAGTACCTTCTAGAGATGCTGGGACAGAGAGTTCTGGAAAACGTATCTGGAAGCTGCCAGCTATGTGGCTTGTTTTAGCAACATTGTTTAGCAATGTTGTTAAACAGGCTTACTTGTTTAGACAGAGTATGCAGGAAAATATCAACTGCTGAAAACGTTACTACTTGGGAGAATTATTACATTGTATCCAGTTTATAGATTTACCAAATGCTACTGTTGTTTACTTTATGAAAGAGGCTCATGAATTATAAGGATCTTTTATCATTTACTTATGTGTAATTCTTAAATTGAAGAAAGCAGCAAAGACATGTATACTTATAAAACAAAACATGCTATGCATACAAATAAAACTGTACGGCAGATGACATTATCGGGACAAGCTACGCTTTTGTTCTACTTTTTCATAAAAAAAATAGACTCCAAATTAATCAACACTAATTACAAGGCATGCATAAGAAAAAAATGCATCCCAAAACTTCCAAATCCATTAAATATATGACTTGAATGCATTTGGAATGTTGCATATTTTTCATCTTAGAATATTTGTCCTGTGGTTTAAGTTAATTTATTTGAACTATTATTAATTTTATTTTGCCCTCTTTGTCTTATGGAAATAAGAATTGGGGAGAAACTAAAATGATGAATACAATAGGAATGGAACATTTAAAAACCATGTGTGATAAAATAAGTAGCAAATAGGACCAAGAATCAATGAGTGCTGAATAGGTAATAAGTACAAAAGTCATTCACTAAAGTTGATTGATTGATCATATAATGAATTATGGCTGACTAACAAAACAAAGAATGAAATATTTAAAAAGAATGGAAAGATTGAAAAAGTCATATCTGGATGGGATTCATGATATTCCAAAAAGAGAATATTTTTGGCAATGTATGACATGGTGCATGAACATGCTGAAAGGAAAAATATTTTGTAATAATCAAACAGTATAAACAGGTACACTGAATGGCACTAGTGTAAACTCAATTTAGCCATATTTTCTTTTATCTAATGCTTTTATTTTATTTTATTTTTTATTTCTTTTCTGTAGTTTGCATAATGTTGCTTATCCTGAAAGGGTTGATATGATAGCAATAGCAATAGCACTTAGACTTATATACCGCTTTACAGCCCTTTCTAAGCGGTTTACAGAGCCAGTATATTGCCCCCAACAATTTGGGTCCTCATTTTACCCATCTTAGAAGGATGGAAGGCTGAGTCAACCTTGAGCCTGCTGAGATTTGAACTGCCAAATTGCAGTGAGCCGGCAGTCAGCAGAAGTCTCCTGTAGTACTGCATTCTAACCACTGCGCCACCACAGCTCATGATCATGCTAATTCAAGTTTTTCACTTTTTTCAAAATGTTTGAAATACACAATAATATGATTTTTGAAGGAAAAAAAACAAGATTTTTTGCATCATGAAATATCAGACCTCAAAATGATATCAAAAATATCAAAAACTCAAAGTGATGTACTGTAAGTTACAATTCAGAGACTTAGTTGTCCCACCTGTTTTCAAAATAATTTCTAGCATTATTCTATTAAAAGATAAGTTTTCATAATTGATTCTTCCTGCCATTCCATCCTCCATTTATATTTGGTGTAAATGTTGCTTGTGCTGCGAACTAATAGAATCTTTTCCTACAACTTTTTTCTTTCAGCATTTTTTTTTAACAAACTCAAAAGTATATTAGAATGTTCATGTACACATCCAAGATAGGTTCAGAAACAGCATTTCCTCCCTTAAAAACTTGAGTTTTATGTCAAAAAATAAAATACTAGCAATTTTTTAAAAAGTTTTTTGTACCAATGAGGGAATGCTTGCTTTCCTTAATCTGCAATGCACTCAGGCAATACCAAACATAATTTGTATTGTGAAATCAAAAGTACATGATATAAACTAGTTCATACAATGTTCTGCTTTTATGGAAACATAATTAAGACCCAGAGACAGGGCCTTGCTATTGTGAAATGCATGCAAATTCCTGCACTAACCAATGAGGGCTGACATGTTCATAGTATGTGACTGCTGTTGCTAAGGAGAGACAGTGTTATTAGTTGTGTTTGGTTTTATTTTCATGATTTTGCATCAAAATGTATGCATGTTGTGCTTTATATTTTATGGTGTTATTGTATTTTGTAATTAAGGTAATTTTTGGGGGGGAAATAAGGCTTTTATATTTTGATAAATGATTTTAATTTAAAACATTTCTCCATCATAACTTCAATAGTAAGTAATTTCAGGTAAGAAAACAAATTATTTATTTGGAGGTAAGATGTAATACCTTCAGAGCAGTAGGCTAGAGGAAAAAGTCAGGTGAAAAAAAGTTATTGGTAAATCATATTTATACTATATCAAGGAAACTGCATGATGATTCAAATATGACACCAGGAGCTGTAATCAGTTTAAAAACACTTTTTAATGCTTCAATGCACTTAATTAAGTCAAGTCTTTTAATGGAAATATGCCAAATTGTCTTTTGTTTAAAAAGACCACTAAAAGTTTGAATTAGGTTCAACCCAAGCACAGTCTTCAGGCAGAATGGGGTAAATTGGAACTTGCTTACCTATCAGCTAAAAAGTAATCCAATAGCTCACAGGTGTTCAGTTCAGAAATAAATTCAATGTGACATGTGTTGACTAAAAAAAAAAACTTTATACCACATCCTCAACCATAAAATTCTGAAATGTGTTAGAAAGTGACATGCAATTAAAAAAAGACTGACCACAGTATGACAGCAGAATTTAATATGTGAAAACAGCTATGTAACCACAGTTCTGTTCTTTCAACTGCCAAAGCCAAATTAACAAAAAAGTTTCTTAAACTATTAGTTCACTGAGCACAGAATGCATTATATCAAGAGACTCCTCTTAAAATTATAAATAAATACACTCTAAAACTGCAAAGTATAAATTGAAGCACTTAAACAAATGATATTTCTTCCCATATCTTCAGGTAATAACTTTTTCCCTCAGTTCCCCAGGTATTCCTGTATCTTTTAAAAAGTTGTATTCTACTATTGTAAGTTCTATCAAATTGCTACCAACACACCTATTCTAAACATTTTTCTGCCCCCAAATATTCTATCTCATATACACTAGAATAAACTGTGTATCACATAGCATGAAATATACTAGTTTATTTCTGGCCAAATGATATGTAAATTTGTGTTTGAGAAAATTACTTTAGAAGCATTATAACTATGTAAAATTTGATTTTATTGCACTGTAGAATTTAGATCAATAAAAATAACAGAAGAACCAAGATTATGCATGCTAAAGAAATAAGAGGAATTTAAAAGATTTTACAAACAACATTATAATAATTTGTTCTTAGTCCTTAATAAAACTAATGTTCACTCCATTACGAAGTAAGTATTTCTGGACAGCCAGTTTGGACTAAATTAAGGAACAGTAGCATCAGTATACAGATAAAACTAAAATAATGGTATCTTTGGAAAATCTCAAGGATCTAATTGTCTGAAATCTCCCATATGGTATTAGGAACATATTCTTTGTTATTTATAAGATCTCTTATAAAGCCTGATTTTTATACTTTGGAATTAAAAAATAAAATGAGGCTATGGCAAGTTGTAAAGTGAAGCACTAGTTTCTTGCATAATATTTATTTCCAAGAAGTATTGTGGGCCTTCCATGTACATTAGAAAATAAACATGGGAAATGACTGTGGTGCAATTCTTGTTTAGAAGAATGCTCTGTTCAGACAATAAACTGAGGAGCTAAAGAGCATACTGGAGTCTTTAGAAAGCATTTAGACCTTCTTTTTTTCCCTAGTTACTCCAATGTTGGTTTGCTTATAAAATGTATTTACATATAAAATTTATTGACCGCCCATCTTATCACAAGTTATGACTTGCTGCATCTACCACAGGAGACATTTTGTGATGGAACAAACTCTCTTTTACTGAAGCCATTTTGTAAGAGAACTGACAATATGCCTCAAAACACCAAACAGTTCTGTATTCCTGATTTTTAAAAAATATGTAAGTACATATGTGTGTGTATGTGTGTGTACACAAAGAAATGCTTTAATGAAACTCTAATAACAATTTTACAATATTTTTGTACTGCAATATATATGTATTTGCCTTACCCCACTTCCGTTTTGTGAAGTAGCCATCAGCACTGGGATCATTGAAATGCCTGCTCATCATAGTCTCTCCTCCAGCATGGAAATCATATGCAAACACAAGAGCTTTTCAAAGAGACCAAGGTGAGAGTTAGGTAGGCATCTAATACATGCTCTTTGATATAATTGGCCAACATCTTGAAGTGAGAAACTTACAATGCTCTCCAAATGCTTTAGTGGTGAATACTTCTCGCAATGTTATGATATTTGAATGCTGGATTTTTTTTCCACATGTCAACTAATACCATGCATTTTGTATTAACAAGACGAAAACCTGAGGAAAGAAGAAACATACCAAGCACTCATTAACTTCCAATGGAACACTCACATCTGTTCCAAAATCTGAGCTGCCACCAACAGACACACCAAAACAAAATATATTTATTTCTTCATATCCTATTCTATGGATCGTCATTAGGGCCAAATTCCTATTCCTTATTTCAAAGGAATTTTTAAAGGAATGATTCCAATTTGATATCCAATTTGTGATTTATACATAGAAGTGCACAATGTTTTAGGTTTAATTATCTGTACCATTGAAATTTTAAAAGATGACAACTTAGGATTTCCCTCACCATGTATCCTCCGAAGGCAATATGGCAGATCATCTTTGCTATTTACAGCTTTGTAGCATGATGTTATGTACCCAAAGTTGCTTGTTTTCTGTATCCGATTGGGTGGTGGCAGTGGTTCTAAAGGGAAAAGGCTGTGGTAGCTGTCAACTTCTGTTGGGACAGCTAAACCAGTTTACAGAAATACATTAGACACTACTTAAAATTATTAAGAAAACAGTTATTACAGGCACAGAGAAGATCAATTAGATGCACACATTTTTTAGAGGATTGTAGCAAAGTTAGAAGTTTAAAATGACAGTTTGATGCAAATCATACACACTTGGTTTATAATAAAAGACATTTGCCTTAGGAAGGATAGCAGTCAAATATTAAAGAACAAGTGTCCTACTGCAAATACTGTGATCATGATTAAATATAGGCAGAAAAAGATATGTGTGATCATTGTTAATCATAAGGGGAAAGTTTTAAGCCAAAAATCATCAGTGTGGTACAAAATAAAATTTTAGGAGAGAATATTTGTGAAAGCTTAAAATAAGCTTAATTTAACCTTGCTTAATAGCAATAGCAATACCATTTAGACTGATATACCTTTCACAGTGCTTTACAGCCTTTCTAAGCAGTTTACAGTGTCTGCATATTGCCCCCAACAATTTGGGTCCTCATTTTACCAATCTCGAAAGGATGGAAGACTGAGTCAACCTTGAACCAGTCAAATTAATGACTTGCAGAACACTAATGTATTTAACCAGAACAGCATAAACCTCACAAATATGTTACTATGGAACACGGTTGCCTTACCCCATCCCCCATCCCTTTCTGGATAATAGCAGTTATGCTACTTTAAATTAAAAAAAAAACAGCAGTAGCCACATGACTATACAGTCCCCGTATTTGCATGATTTGAAGCATTTTCTGCACTTCACAAGGATTCAAGGCAAGCAGTTAACACACTGCTTGCAAAGATGGAACTTTTTAACACAGAATTGCGCAACCTCTGGCTTTTGGTGCCAACTCTGTCAATGATATCAGTTTTTTGCTTTTAAGGTGGAAAACAGACAAGCTATAGTGTACGCTCAAAAAAAGGCATATCCCATACTCATGAGGTCCCCTCAATACCTACTCTAGCTCACATATACTGTATCTACATCATTGCAGCTCTGCCCCTAAAGGGTTAAATGTCATAAAAAAAGATTGTCATCTCTGCTTTATTGCTAGTTAGAGTATACTGCACTACTAGGTAGCAGAGTAGGGTACTGGTACTATTACTTCCATGACAAGCAGGCATTTCTTAATTATATAGATTCTGCACTTATCTATTCCCATCATCTAATAATTAGTTTCCTTTATCACAGAACCTTAAACTAATACCTGAAGAAATCGAACTGCTGTACAGGTCTAAACAATTACTGATCTATTTGCTATAGTAAAACAGATCAATTCTGCATGTCATATATTTGTTGATTTTTATTTCCATAAAACTACAATCCAGAAAGCTTCTTTTGATACATTTGCACTGACATTTTCACTATTTTACTTCAAAAAACTGGCCTCCTATTCTATTTAACATCACTTTTGAGATTTGTCTGAGAAAAGGAACAATCCAAAACTCTACTACACATGCGGAGATGGCCAAAGACTCAACGAAAGAAGTTATACATAAAAGTTATGCTTAAAACTGAACAGATATTTATTTTCCATTCAAGATATCTTTTCATGCTGAAAATATTATACCAAGTTTAATTATCAGAAAGTTATGATATTTTGAGCACCATCCTACAATTGATGTACTCTCTAAACCAAATGCAATAAACAGAAAATATAAAGGCATTCTCTTCCACAAGAACATGCCATTTGTGTTAACACTTATAAAACACACATACATATATTGCACTTGCTATGTAGGTTTGGAACCAGATGCACATAAAAAAGTACCCACCATCTCCAATTTGAAACCCTTCCTATGGCTATTAATATTAAATAAATATTATGAATAAGGTGAGGGGTTATTAATGCATAAGTAAAACCAAACATTTGTATTAAGATTTAGGCTGAAAGTAAAAACAAATTTGGATCTGTGGAAAAAAAGAAAATATGATGAAGAAATGCATGTAACTACATTAAGTTTCAATATAGACAGAACCTAATATACTAAGCCAGCCTGATTATACACAATACTGCAATTAGTTATATTAACAAGCAGACTCTGCAAGCACAAGGAAATAACAAGAAAAATGGGTCTAGGTTAACTTAGATTTAATATATCTTTAATAAATGTATGGTGGGTGTGGATGTGCGTGTGTGGGGGGGGAGGTTGTGTGTGGGGGTTTGTGTGTATGTAAGTCCATACATGCACACACAAATGTAATGTAGTATTATACAATATATAGTGTATGTATATATATATGTGTGTACATCAGTGGTGGGTTTCCCCCGGTTCGGACCAATTCACAAGAACCGGTAGTAAAACCGGCGGGAGGCTCCGCCCACTGACCCAGATGTCATCAGGAAGTTTCTGTGTGCGGTCCCATTGCGAACCGGTAGTAAAGGTAAGTAGAACCCACCCCTGGTGTACATGTGTGCGTGTTAGTAGTGTTATGAAGCTGAAAGCAAGCATAAATACACTTCACCAACACAAGTTAAAATTCAGGATCTTTAATTACTTACCAGGCATATCTGCTTGATCTATCTGAGCCATTGTAATTAAGTGTCTGTTGATCAGCTCCTATAAGTGAAACATTTTATACTCTTACAGATAAAGTATAAAATTTATGTTGTTTTTTTTAAATGGAGTTGTGCTAAACTATAAAAATAAACTGATGTATTTTTCTGTTTTATCTGGTCTGACTGCTTTACAAAATTGTAAAGCTTACCTAAAGTAAACTTCTTTGAGATCTATGAACTTTTGAATATGATTGTTGATATATCCAATAGCCCATTAATTCTTCTGGTTTCAAAACTGACTCTACTAATCCTACCAAAAAAAGTCAAGACCGTTCTTCAGCAAATATGTCTTACAATTAAAGCAAGTAATTCTTACAATTAAAAAGGTCTTCCATCCCAGATTTTTTACACTACACTTTAATAGTAGTATTTTTGTCTTAGCATTTTTATAGCTGTCTTCTCTCACTATTCTCTGGCAATTGTTTTAGTTTTCTTTTCTCAATGCTGCAGATTCACATTTAAATACAGCATGGGCATTAGACCACTCCTCTATTTAATTCAGTCCAGATCATCATAAGAAAATGTTTGCATCTATGTAAGGGAATAAGATTTTGGAGAAGATGCTATTACTTCATTTTTATAAATAAAAAGCATGTTAGCAATTTTGCAGGTATTTACATATATATTTATTTTATATATATATATATATATATATATACATACATACATATACATATACATATACATATACATATACATATATAGATATATAGATATAGATATAGATATCATATATCATATAACAACTCTTTGCAACTATTTAAGCCAAATGAGACTTTTCCTGCGAAAACATCACAACTATAGATTCTAAAAAAACATGCCATTGCACAGCCTTACAAATAAATGATTTTTTAAAATTCTTCCTAGCAAAAAATTATTTATCAACATCTATACATTATATGTATGAAATATGATATTCCAAAAGCTTTGACAATACAGGAATAATCTTCTATTTTGTCTCCCTAACAACTAGCTTGCTCAAACTTTCTAGTATAGTTGTGGTTTGCTTTCCTTACAATTATACCACAGCTTTGAGGCATGATCAGTTTCTTTTCTACCGTATTATACAGTATTCTATTCTATTCTATGGTTAATACAAATATTGTCCTGTGGATTGAATGTAGACTTCAGGATTCTTCATGCAATTGACAAGGAATATATGTTAGCTAAACTAAGTTTGTCCTCTAATAACTGTCTATCTCAACATAAAGGTGCAATATCATATCAGGAGAAAGACAGGCAATGGAAGAGATATGCACTGCTTAATTTGACAGTGGCTGTAGTTGGTACTGTAGTCATATATATACAGTTACTTTGTCAAATATATTGGTAACCATATAAAGGTACTACAGACTAAAACCTTTACAAGTACAGGTAGCCCTCGATTTACAACCATTTGTTTAGTGATTGTTCTAAGTTACAGTGGTATTGAAAAAAGTGACTTATGACCATTTTTATGACCATTACAGCATCCCCATGATCATGGGATCAAAATTTGGACACTTGGAAATTGGTTCATATTTATGATGGTTGCAATGTCCTGAGGGTCATTTAAATCATCTTTTGTGACCTTCTGACAAGCAAAGTCAATGGGAAGCTAGATTCAATTAACAACGGTATTACTAACTTAACAAACTGCAGTGATTCACTTAACAACTGTGGCAAGAAAGGTCGTAAAATGGGGCAAAACTCACTTAAAAAAATGTCTTGTGTAACTACATAAATTTTGGGTCCAATTTTGGTACAAGGACTGCTTGTATTTTATATATTTATAAAATTTCCAAAATTTCTACATCGAAGTGACTCTTAATGAGTACTCACTGTTTGAGAATTAATGACTGACTCTACAATCCTATATGTTTATTGAGTAAATCGATAAATCAATAAATCGAGTAAATTGAGTACATGAACTGGAACTTGCACCAAGAAAGTTATGATGGGATTCCAGTTTAGGATGAGTCTTAAATATAGCATGCTGTTCTGTATGATAACTTGGTTGTGTTCCAATAATGATCATTCCATGGGTAATTAAGTCCTGTCTGTGAATTTAGACTTAGGTCATCCTATATTTTTCAGTATACTGGGTAACAAGTTTCTGCAACAATTTTAGTCCATTTTAATGGTTTCTGTTTCTTTGCACGTGACTCCAATGTTTATCAAGTTTTCTTTAAATAAAATTTTTGGAAAATTTTAATTTGGTCTTTCTTGGTTGGTCTTTCTTCTTCTTCCCTCTAGGTGGTATCCAACAAATGGAAGTCCTAGGGTAACAGTTATCCAGCAGATACAAAATGTCCCCCAAAATATTATTGCAATCCCTCACAATGTCTTGTAACCTGAAGGAGTCACTTCCTAAAATCTCATTATTAGAAGGAATGTTTTGGTAACTGACAACAAAGATTTTTCATGAGCAGTACAGGTAGAATACTGAGCTTTTGTGCTATCACAACCACAAGTTTTGCTTCCATATATTGCTACTAAGAATTGATGGCATTGTCAAAACAGATCCTTGTTGCATTATTTACTATTAATTAGACCAAATCGGTGCAGAGATTGCAACATTGGCTATGCTTTTCTTTGTAATGTTGCTTCTCAATGTCTCCATTGTTTCATAGTGCAACTGCCTGGATAGGTGAATCTCTCTAATTCCTCAAGAGATTTGTGTCCAACAACCAACTACAGGCTCCCTTGGAGATTTCCAAATGCATGAGTTTCACACAGTTCTTATTTATCCTCAATTTTACCAACTTCTATTTTCAAACTAGCAATCATCAGCAATGTCCTATGAACATTTCCAGGTTTCTGCCAGAAGTGCAATTTCACCTGCAAAATCCAAACCTTTAAATCTTGACTAATCTTTTTACAGGATGCTTACAATTGTCATATCCATTACACCTTTCTCATTATGAAGTTCACCATCAAAGGGACTAAAAATATGAATATGAAACCTTGCCAAAGTCCACTATTAAGGTTAAATAAATATGCAATGCCGCTATTAGTTCTCATATAGCACCTCCAATTCAAATAGAGTGTACTTATGCATATACTACACTTCCTACAATGCAGTACCGTTTCCCTGAAAATAAGACATCCCCTGATAATAAGCCCAATTGGGCTTTTGAGCGCATGCACTAAAATAAGCCTCCCCCCTGAAAATAAGCCCTCCCAAAAATATTTATACGCAGAGCTGGCAATCAGGTAAAACGGCAAAAGGAGCCCCATCTTGCTCCACGCGTCCCAAAATAATAAGACCCCCCTGAAAATAAGGCCAAGAACTTATTTCAGGATTCAAAAAAATATAAGACAGGGTCTTATTTTCGGGGAAACATGGTACCTAGTTTTACAATGTGCTGAATACAGATTTTTACAAAAATTTAAAGGAAACATTGTGCAGACATTTAGGAATAAAATCTATTATTTATTTTTGTATTTTAAAAAGAATTTACCTGTCTGAGTTCATCAGCCATGAAGAAGGAAGGTGCATTAGCTTTTGGTTGCATATAAGCAACGTGAGGTGCGGTTGGAGGGTAAATGTGATAATTTGGGAATACCTATTGAAAGTCAGTTAGGAAATAGATAACTTTCAGAAGTTGAAAAATCAATAGACTTTAAAATTTATCTTAATACATTCAAGGAAGAACCATAACACAGACTTTTTTAGATACTATACAGCCTATTATAGGCTTGAACTTATACTAACCTCCCTTTTTAATTATAAATTTTAAATTTGTCTAAAATTTTAGGGTTGTTTTAATCTGTTCTGGGCCAAATTTATTTAATTAGGTTTTTATACTGTTTTTAAATTTTGTAATTCTGTGTGTTTTATCTCTTGGCTGTTCACCGCCCTGAGTCCCTCGGGAGTAGGGCGGTATATAAATCTAATAAATAAATAAATAAATAAATACTATATTGACTAGCTAATTCTAGCAACATCTATTCTACAAAGGATTCTAACATACTGTTAACTATTCATTCACTATAATTTCTCTAAATTAACTTAGCTATTTCAGAATCCAAATCTTTTTTTTAAATTAACATTTCACAGATTTGCTTAGTTTTTTTTGCTCTATTACTTAGAAAAATATTATTTTTTAAAAAAATTAAAAACCCACACCTTCAGCAATGTAATTTAATTAAAATCTTGGTGCCACTTTAGCTTGTATTTAACATTTTATATTGTAAAGTGAATCTCTTACTAGAGAGGTTTTTTACATATGACAATGAAATTAATAACTGAAAGTCCTCTATTTCCAGTTCAGGTAAGCATCAAATTTTATCATATAAGGATCTTTATCAATCACTTAACGGTTCATAAAATTTTGTTATTACCAGTTGTTCAAATTCTATTTTGAACAAATCCTCTCATTTCAGAGAACAAATCAAATTCTTTAAGAAGCTAGCTATCCTTAAAATACAAATGTCTTCTAGGCAAATGTGTAATATTTTCTAGGCAAACCTGAGGCATCAGGTAGCCCTCTATCTAAAAAATAGCTTACTCTCCCTGTTAAATTCCACTTACTTAGGAGCATTTCTAATGAAAATACAGAAATACTTTACATTCACTTCAATGACATCTAGATGCTAACATCTGTTCCAATTGGCAACAGCTCTAAAAAATTTCACTAAGATACCTTATCCCTTGCCACCAGAGCTCTGCCCCTGAGCTATAGCTTCTTCCCATTTGTTCTAGGGGATAAGAACAGTACAAAAATTATAGCCTATGCAAAAAGATAAAAAGCTACTTTGGGAACAAGCTATAACTGTTTACCATGATAACAATGGCTTACCATGCCAAGAATTAACTCAAAGCTAACATAGTTTATCATATCCGAGTGCATGTAATATCTCCTTTATAAAATATGAAGAAGAGAAGAGATCATTTAAATATGAAGAAGGGACATTTAATAGCAATTAAGTACTGAAAATAAAGGTAAATAATTTTTTGCTGACAAGTATCCTCACAACTGAAGCTAAATCTTACCATTCCAGTTAGAGGTGCTGGAGTTGTGTCAGTATAGAAATAGGTTGTTCCACCCACAGTTTCTTTCTGAATCACTTGGCCAGTTGTGGGGGGGCTGTGAGACAGCATTAGTAACTGGAGTAGAGGCACTAGTAGGCACCATATAATTTGCTGGGTTTGGTGTGTGACTTCTTCGTCTAGGAGCAGGAGATGTGTGAGGCGTGATTTTAGGAGAATGAAGGGGTGAAGATCCTGCTGACAGTGACATTCCTTGTGCAAATAAAAAGGGAAAAAAGTCTTGCTGGTAAACTAGGAATATGTTCCAGCATGAACTCTAAATCTTGAAAAATTACAAATTCTCTTACAGATCAGAAAAAAAGAACTTTGGAACAAGATGTTTGAAAATGTTCCCAACCTCAGCCTATATTCAGTCTTCAAATAAAATTGTTAACAGATATCATGTAGGTTGATTGACACAACCTCAAGGTTACATATTGAAATCAATGCCCCAGCCTTATAATAAATCTAGTGATCTGTAAAACTCGCCAATTTAGGAGCATTCCATTGCAGACAACTCCATAAAATTATTTTCTCCTCCCTCCATATCATATTAAAATCTCCTCTAAAATGACAACAAGATTTGATATAGTCTGGAGGAAGAACAGAACATTCCAGCAATCTCTGAAGTGCAACATTCTGTCATCAATAAGTTTTCTCATTTGCCTATCACCCATAAGAAAATGAAATATCTTTATTATAGGAAATATGAAAGAGTAGGAAATATGACAAAGTTAAACAAATAAAAACTAGCATACATTTACTGACCTCTGACATTTTGTATTCAATATTATTAGGCATTGTATTTAAGGAAAAACAATTTGGTAGAATTATTATTTTTATGAATGAAATTCAGTTTCTATCCATAGTATCTATGACATTAAAAAAAATCTCTGACCCTGAAGAACAAATAGTGAAGAATGCTAAATTAAGATTCCCTAGGCTACGCACAAGAATGAATGTAATCATCATCCCCCAGTTTGATTTAAATGATAATTTTTCATCCAGAGAAATTTTATATTTTCAAAACAATTTCTCAAGGTAAAAGATTCAGTTTAATTTTATTTCTCCATATTACATTTCTTGCTCAAGCCACATAACTTAAAAAGACATACAGTGGGGCAAAAAAGTATTTAGTCAGCCCAATTGTGCAAGTTCTCCCACTTAAAAAGATGAGAGAGGCCTGTAATTGTCATCATAGGTAGACCTCAACTATGAGAGACAAAATGAGAAAACAAATCCAGACAATCACATTGTCTGATTTGAAAAGAATTTATTTGCAAATTATGGTGGAAAATAAGTATTTGGTCAATATCAAAAGTTCATCTCAATACTTTGTTATATATCCTTTGTTGGCAATGACAGAAGTCAAACGTTTTCTGTAAGTCTTCACAAGGTTGGCACACACTGTTGCTGGTATGTTGGCCCATTCCTCCATGCAGATCTCCTCTAGAGCAGTGATGTTTTGGGGCTGTTGCTGGGCAATATGGACTTTCAACTCCCTCCAAAGGTTTTCTATGGGGTTGAGATCTGGAGACTGGCTAGGCCACTCCAGGACCTTGAAATGCTTCTTACGAAGCCACTCCTTCGTTGCCCGGGCGGTGTGTTTGGGATCATTGTCATGCTGAAAGACCCAGCCATGTTTCATCTTCAATGCCCTTGCTGATGGAAGGAGGTTTGCACTCAAAATCTCACGATACATGGCCCCATTCATTCTTTTCCTGCAAAAGGGACCAGTGGTCCTGGTCCCTTTGCAGAGAAACAGCCCCAAAGCATGATGTTGCCACCCCCATGCTTCACAGTAGGTATAGTGTTCTTTGGATGCAACTCAGCATTCTCTCTCCTCCAAACACAACCAGTTGTGTTTCTACCAAACAGTTCTACTTTGGTTTCATCTGACCATATGACATTTTCCCAATCCTCTTCTGGATCATCCAAATGCTCTCTAGCAAACTTCAGATGGGCCCGGACATGTACTGGCTTAAGAGGGGGACACATCTGGCACTGCAGGATCTGAGTCCCTGGCGGCATAGTATGTTACCTTTGTTACGTTGGTCCCAGCTCTCTGCAGGTCATTCACTAGGTCCCCCCCGTGTGGTTCTGGGATTTTTGCTCACCGTTCTTGTGATCATTTTGACCCCACGGGGTGAGACCTTGCATGGAGCCCCAGATCAAGGGAGATTATCAATGGTCTTGTATGTCTTCCATTTTCTAATTATTGCTCCCACAGTTGATTTCTTCATACCAAGCTGCTTGCCTATTGCAGATTCAGTCTTCCCAGCCTGGTGCAGGTCTACAATTTTGTTTCTGGTGTCCTTCGACAGCTCTTTGGTCTTCACCATAGTGGAGTTTGGAGTGTGACTGTTTGAGGTTGTGGACAGGTGTCTTTTATACTGATAACAAGTTCAAACAGGTGCCATTAAAACAGGTAATGAGTGAAGGACAGAGGAGCCTCTTAAAGAAGAAGTTACAGGTCTATGAGAGCCAGAAATCTTGCTTGTTTGTAGGTGACCAAATACTTATTTTCCACCATAATTTGCAAATAAATTCTTTCCAAAATCAGACAATGTGATTGTCTGAATTTGTTTTCTCATTTTATCTCTCATAGTTGAGGTCTACCTATGATGACAATTACAGGCCTCTCTCATCTTTTTAAGTGGGAGAACTTGCACAATTGGTGGCTGACTAAATACTTTTTTGCCCCACTGTATATTTGTGTGATTTTTATATTCCCATAACTGCAAGAAATTTCATAATATAGATCAAGATACAGTTTCATTTATTTTTGTTAGATCTACACTCCACTATTTCTTCAGCTCACACACAGAGTATTGTTTCTTCCCATTTTATTCTTAAATAGAATGTAGATTGGACTCAAAGACAGTGACTGGCCATTTATAAGCTGTCTAGTATTGCCTTAACCTGAATCTCTCTAACATTGGAACTAATTCCTTTAAAGGAGATTGTTTAAAAATAAACTCCTTTCCAAGTACCAACATTTATTTATTCATCTAGTTTCTGTATTTTTTTATCCAGCTTTTATTATTTTATATTAACTCAAGGCAATGAACATACATAATTATTATTTATTAAACACCTTTATATGACCACCCAACTCATGCACAGTGATTCCAGGCAGCTTACAACAAATTCCACAACATAAAAACCCATCCATCCTCTTTGTATTTTCCCATTGTGAGGTGTGAGGTTTTGGACTGAGAAAGCATAGCTGGCTCAAAATCACCCAGCTGGAGTACTGCTGGGTCCCTGAAATCAACTTTCAAAAAATTGAATTTATCTATAGTATACATATCTACATAGAACTACACAGGAATCTTATTAAGCAAGATCTACTTTCAAGAGGTCTTAGCCCAGCAGATCTCAAGCCCCATGTGATTCCAAGTCCAACCTTATCAAAAGAAAAGACAGCTAATTAGATTCTATAGATTTTGTAGTCAAAAGGGTTTAAGTCTTGAAGCACAAATGGCCTGACCAAAGGAAAAAACATCTCTCTCTCTCTCTCTCCTTTGACCCCAATATAGGATGTTTGAACTAATCACAAGATTTGATTCAAACCACAGTTCAGTCATTCATTTTGGAATTATTTGAAAACTTAATACAACTTAGCTTTTGAATCAGAATCTCGATTCAGATATTTGAAGTTTCCAAACTCCTATATTTTTAGTTATAAAATCTACAAAATTTTGGAAGGACAGTTGATAGAGATAGAGATTTTGGTTGAGTATAATTTAATATCATATATCATATTAATATACTTTAATATAAAACTCAAGAACAGTGATGAGCATTTACTGTCAAAAACAAAATAATATGAACATCAATGATTTTGTAATCAAGCATCCCAGAATCCTGACTTTTCATTGTTTTGCTCATGTATTATTTTGCAACCACATCTACACTTTTGTACAGGTTTGTGCCCCCGGCCACTACTTTAGGAAAAATTAATAACTTCTTTTTTTAGTGCCTATAAAATTAAAATGCATAACTTACTAATGCCAAATAATGACAAGAAACCTTTAAGAATTACTCTTATAACAAAGCAATTTGTATAAAGTTGCAAAGAGATTAGAACTACATGAAGTTACAATTTGCATAGCCAAGATTTATTATATCAATAAATTCCTAAAGTACAATAAGATAAATTGGTTACTACTACTTAGCAACTTACATGTGCTATATCTTAATTTAAAAAGTAAACAAATTACTCTAAACTTACCTGGAGCTAACCCAGGATTTGCAGGATTTCCCATGGAAGGATGAGAGAACAAGGCTTGAGAGAAGGCAGATATATTTGAGTGTGACATATTACCAAGTCGGGAGTTTGATCCTCCTTTAGGAATAAACTCACTTGCAGTGGGATTTGGCGTCTGTTTAAAAATCAGGATATATTATATTATATGTTAAATGTGAAGACATATTTGTTTACTAAATAAATCAGTGGAATTAAAACGCCAAAATCTAATATTTCAAATTTCAGCAGACAATTAAGAATTAATACCAGGGTCCGAAGACTAAAATTACTCCAGTGAAGTTAATGTGGACTTTATATGCTATTCCCTTTTATTGTAATTGGCCTCTAAACATAACTTTTCAATACTGTGCTTGGTTTGTAATATTACATGACAAAGAAGAGAAGGAGAAAAAAAAGAAAACATTCAATTAAGGTAGGCATTTCCGACCTAACTGGCTCGAAGTATTCTTTTACCATAAGAAGTCTGTTGAAATACAGATCTACATATAACTCTATAATTTAAGATCTGCAAATCTGCAATACACATGGGTCAATTATATCTCAACAATTGTCAGCTTTATCATTATGATGATGGTAGCCTATTCATATAAACAGATGAAATTTTAGAGAACTAGACAGTAGAATTATTTCAAAAAGCTTATTTTACTTAGTTATTATAATTTGATTTATGGTCAAAGATCAATTATCAATTACACTTTATACATAATCTAAAGGAAAAAACAGAGGCACTAAAACTTAAAACAACATAAAATATAAAAGCCTTAAAATAACAGAAGATAGCAATCAATATATATATATATAAATTAAATAATGAAGAAGCAATTATATTCGCCCCACAACATCATTCGCTGTAAATGCCAGTTTGAATCTTGATGTGGTTATATAATTCAGTACCAAATGCTGGACGAATTAGAATAGCTCAACAAAATATTGGATAGCATGTTCAGAATGCGTTTATGAGTTTCTTGGCTAAAATACTGTATTTAATAATACAACTATTATCATACTTAAAAAGATAAAATGAATTATAATCAAATTTAAGTGTATTAACATATAACACAATATTAAATATCTTTTTTTATTTGCCTTTTTTATCCAGGTTCAATAAATGAGATTTCCTCCGCCTTCTTTGAAAAAAAAATAATAATTGTGCATTTCAGACTATTATCTAATTATAATGAAACCTCAATATTTTGACCCTTCACTCAGCAGATGTCAGACGCAATGGAGAAAATTTATTTTGGACTTTGCCTACAAAAAAGTATAATGTCTACTAATTGTGAAGCATTGTTAACGAATTGTTATTTTTTTCAATTTTGTTATTTTATATCACTTCTGTAATAACACAATTTTGCAAATGACATAAATTTGCATAAATTATGTAAAAGCCTCAAATATGAAATTATGATATCAAATATATGTAAAAAAAATCAAGTGGAAATGACATAAGCTACATAAAGAATGTAAATCTGGATTTGATACTCTTTCCTCCCCAAATGGAACATTAAATGTAGATTTTCCTGTAAAGATTTCTTAAGACATTTTAATTCATTATATACTACTAAACCATTCTCATTTGTTTATTTGTAACATTCAACTGGGCAAAACTGTACATCATAGGACAACAATTTTTGAATCAATGTACCTCAAATGACGTAACTTAAAGAATGTGTCAAAAATCTGGAACCCATTACTCCCATAGGATTGGCAATGTTATTTCACTGCTGCCATATTGCCACGGTCAGTGATCATCATTTCCACTGCACCTTGCCAACTTTCTCCCAGGAAAGTCAATGGGGAAGCCAACAGGAAGCCAGAAGTCACACCTGCTCCCACTACATTTTTGCCCATTTTTGCTCATTCTATTTCTCAGTTTAGGTAAAGAAATAGGTCTGATGAGCCAACAGGTCATGGGTTGTCTAGTTGTTATTACTATTAAAAACTGTGTATGTTGTCTTTTCGTAAAATAAAACCAAGGAAACTTAAATAACAAAATAACCAAAGTCACCACACTGCTGAGAAGTGACACAATTTAATAAAGTGCAGAAAAAGTCACAATAATGGAGGCCTTTGAGAGGAGGACTGTGAATCACTGTGATAGTCTGAAATTTTTTGATACTGCAACTCATACATGAATTTGTGTGAGGCCCTTATGAATAAAGCTAATTTATTTACTTACTTACTTACTTACTTATTTACTTACTTACTTACTTTACTTATTTTATTGAATTTGTAAACTGCCCTACTCCCGAAGGACTCAGGGCGGTGAACAGCCATAGAATAAAACATATAAATACAAAATTTAAAATAGATTAAAACGAATTAAATAATAATTCGTTATTATTATTAAATAATAATAATCACATTGAAGATAGGAATGGGCAAAAAATAAATATATCTTTCAAAAGATATATCGATTTTATCATAATTACCCTAGGGTTATTTTTCATCAACAGTACCCTTAAATGTCTTTAGCTGTTCTCTTTCTACCCAATAAAGTTGTCCTCAATTTGAAAATCTATACATTTAAAATAATGGATAAAACTGATGAAGTTCTTTAATTAACATATACATCTCTTCAGACATTCTTAAGATCATAGATATACTTGCCTGAAGTCACTAATCAATAAGAAACTATCTGCCTTCCAAAGTATCCCAACTTTATTTATCTCTCAAAACTCATTCTAGGTTTTGCTCCCTTTTTTCTATAGCCAAACCTAACTCAAAATGCAATGTGTTTTCACAGTACTACGACTTAAGAGCTGACTGAGTAAAAAAAAAAAAATTAAACAAAAAATAACTGCCACCAGAGTTCCTGGTATAACCTTAATTTAAAAGACAATGATTTTGCTGTTCAGTCTATTAAATACAAATTAATACCTGTCTACTTTTCTTGGTAATGTTTTAAAAAATCTTGTCACATCTGAAATGTTATAGCATTTTATTGTGCCATAATCTACATGATTATAAGACACAGTATTTATTGCAACAGTTATTACAACCACTTCTTGAGCATTATAGTCACTTTATCGGTGAGATAGGCAGCATATAATTTGAATTAATTAGTTAATTAATTTAACTTTCTAATAGTCTACTCTATACCTTTATCTGTATCATTCACCTTTGTAGGTATGTTGTCTTTTGTGTCTTTTCCTAAATAAACACAGCATTTTTACAGAACTCTTATCCAAATCCAGTATTTTTCATCCCTAACATTTTGATACAAGATGACACAATACATTTTCCCTATCAAGAAACTGGAAACCATCATATTTAGTTTTAACTAAATGACACAAGCGTTATTTTCAAATACAACAAATCTTGGAAATAATTGCTAATCTTGTACAAATATGTGAAAAGTAAAAGGGAAAATGGATAAAAATCTACCTTTTAAAATGCAGTAATGAAAACAGCTCAAATATGAAACATGGAAAATATGATAAAATATGATAGCAACACACAAACGGAATCAAGACCCAACTTACATCTCATTTACAAAACTTTCCTGACTTTATGAACAAAATATTAAGCATAATATAGTCCTGATCAGAATATATTAAGAGAAAGCGGGTTGATTAAAGTTGTTCACATAGTGATTTCACTGTAACTTTTATATCTCATTTTCCAGAATAGTTAGGGCACAAGTATATTGTAGTAACCAAAAAAAAAAAAAGAGCTTTATCATCTTTTGCTTTTCTTATGACTCTCAGAACTATACTTTTGTTTCTTTATATATTAAATTAGGTGCAGTTTACTTGCCACCCTTTTCTACCATATAAAGAAATCAAAAGGATCATAAAAATTGAATGGCACACTTTCATAAAAATGGGATGAGGAGAGACAGGCTTGTTTTCCAGTGCCTTTCAATCTGCATAATATGCACTGTACACCTTAGTCTTTGATAAGCTTACACTGAAGGCCCATTAGAGACTGGCTGCTCTGACATCTATAGTTATAAAAATCTTTGAAAGGTTAGTGCTGGTCCACCTGAAAATCATCACAGATCCTCTGCTAGACTCCTTGTAGTTTGCCTACCGCGGAAATCAGGGGTGGTTTTCAGCAGGTTCTGACCAGTTCTGGAGAACTGGTAGCGGAAATTTTGAGTAGTTCAGAGAACTGATAAATACCACCTCTGAGTGGCCCCACCCCCATCTATTCTCTGCCTCCCGAGTCCCAGCTGATCGGGAGGAAATGGGGATTTTGCAGTAACCTTCTCCTGGAGTGGTGAGGGAATGGAGATTTTATAGTATCCTTCCCCTGGAGTGGGGTAGGAATGGAGATTTTACAGTATCCTTCCCCTGCCATGCCCACCAAGCCATGCCACGCCCACCAAGCCACGCCCACAGAACTAGTAGTAAAAAAGTTTGAATCCCACCACTGGCGCAAATAGATTGGTAGATGATGCTGTTGTCATGGCAATGCACTACATCTTACAACATCTTGAATCCCAAAAGACCTGTGCAAGGGTCCTGTTTGTAGACTTCAGCTCAGCATCCAGAAATGCTTCACTCTAAACTGACTCAGCTATGCCTATCCACACTTGTAGGTGGATTATAAGCTTTCTGACAGATAGAAAGCAGCAAATGAAGCTAGGTAAAATCAGATTGAATACCCGTTCAATTAGCACAGGGTCCCACCAGGGCTGTATGCTCTCTCCATTACTCTTTTCTATCTATCCCAATGACCGCATCTCTAAGGATTCCTCTGTTAAAGTACTGAAGTTTGCAGATGGTACAACAGTCATTGGTCTCATTTGTGAGAGTGATGAGTCTGCATCATTCAAGATGGAAGGTTGAACAACAATTGCCCCTGTGCTGCAGGCGGAACAACCTAGAGCTGAACACACTTAAAACTGTAGAGTTGAAAGTGGATTTTAGGAGGAGCCCTACTATTCTAGTACCTCTTACTGTATTAGACAACACAGTACCAATAATAGAGATCTTCAAATTTCTGGGTTCTATAATCATCTAGAATTTGAAATGGACACCTAACATTAGAATCATCATTAAAAAGGCACAACAAAGAATGTTCTTCCTGTGTTAATTCAGAAAGTTCAGACTGCCCAAGTTGTTGATGATACAGTTCTACAGAGGAATTATTGAGTCTGTCATTTGTATTTCTATAACTGTCTGGTTTGGAATAGCAAACGAACAAGACACATACAGACTTCAATGTATAGTTAGTACTGCAGAAAAAGACCAATTGCAACCAGCCTGCCTTCCATTAAGGACCTATATGCTACACAAGCCAGAAAGAGGGCTAGGAAAATATCTACATACCCCTCACATCCTGAACATAAACTGTTTCAACTCCTCCCCTCAGGACAAAACAACTAGACACAGAGAGTTTTTTTCTTCATGCCATCATTCTGCTGATTACCTAATTACCACAGTACTGTCTTCTGTCTATGTCTATTTACCCATGTAGTAAGGTTGTTTTACTATTATCCTTCTCATCTTTTCTACTACCTTTCTCTATTGGTATCCTATGATTGTAATACTTTGTTGTTTGTATGTATACTGAGAGCTTGTACACAGGAGACAAACTCCTTTTGTGTCCAATGACACTTGGCCAATAAAGCATTCTTAAATATTCTAAACTTGCAGAGGGGAAGATTATACACATCCAGTCACAAGCATCCTTCCTTAAAATGCCTCTAGATGTGTAAAATTAGCATGCCTTTGTGTAACATTAAAATTCATCTGGCTAACTGAAAACACATTCTTTTTCTTTCACATAAATCAAACCCCTTTCCTCTGCTGGTATGGTTGCCTCCTCCTCATGTCCATTGTTATTCCCATCTGCAATACTAACTAATCAGTGACTAATATTTGCATGCTATATATGTTTGTTATTCAGTCAAAACCTATTCCTCCTTTGCATATTACAGATTTTATTTTGCAGTACAGAACATTAATCCCACTACTTCCTTAAACAGCATTTAATTATACATGAAATATAAGAACAGAATTTTTCTCTTCATATAGACGTTTGAATTTTTGTTTTTCATATGGAATACTATAATAATAGTAAGTATACACAATTCTTTGAGGGAAAAAAAAGGGGGGGGGTCTTGAAGGATCGGAATTTTCTATTATGCGCTTATGCGAACCGAAGCCGGATTTTAGAATTTTTTAAAATTTTGCAACTATTTTAAATTGTTTATGCTATCATATTAAAATTATATTCAATAATTTTACAATTTCAGTTTGAACTATAATGAAACACCTCAATTGATCAATAAGCTAATTTTTAATAATAAAATAATTACATTGGTTATCAATTGATTAATTCCTTTAAACATTGTTCTCTCTTTCAATTATATTGACCGAAAGAGAAAATAACAATGTTTAAAAGAAAAAGACTGTGGGCTTTTTTTTTATTATTATTCCTCTGGTCCAGAAACCAAAGGCATTATTTTAGCAAACCATTTAAGCATTTTTTAAGGGAAAGATCAGGGGATCATAATCTGGCTCTCTTCAAGTAGTTTCATGTCCTCTAACAGGCATATGTAGTGGATGGAATTTTTTGAAATTGTAACCTGAAACTCATAAAGGGCAGTTTCACAAAAGAACAGCTATCCATTAGTGAGATTACCAAGTTATGTTGGACCAGTTACCTCCCTTCAACTTGATATACCTCACTGGGCTATTATTGAGGGGAGGGTGTGCCACTCTGAGCTATGTATATAGCCTTTTGAGCGTCTTCTGCAAAGGTGAGAAACAGAAATGTTAACATTTAATTTCTCTAAAACAAATACATCACAGTTTGGCTATTGTATTTTTCCACATTCTATTAAGCAATGAATGAAAGAGTATTATTATACTGAAATACAGCATTGCAAGCCCGCATCCATGTATAAAAAAGATAACTTGACTGCCTGACAGGGAAAAAAAAACATAACCTTCTGTGGGCTAAATGTCTATGGAGATTCTCAATCATCCTAGTCATGATTGTCCTAAAGGTACTTTTTCCAAAAGGGAACTGAACTTTTTTTTGTCTTTGAAAATATTTGCTGCTCATCCAATAAGCTTCTTCAGTTCTCTGGAGGACAAGCAAAAAAATGTTAAAGAAAAAACCAAGAAAGCCCAGTTGCCTTTTGGAAAAAGCACTTTTGGGTATGCAGTGGGCTGATTTTTTCCCCTGTAAAATCATTTGAAGTCTTATAGCAACTAGTCCTTGCACATGCAGAACAGATTCTCTGGACTGAGATCTGTATCAGAAAAGTAAGAAACGTGGTAAGACAAATAGAAAGCCATTTTTGCTTACTGAATAACAAATTTCTAGTCCTGTTAACATTTACAAACCAAAACTATATAGCATTATCTACTGAATACAGGCTCAACTTCTTGAACTGAAAGGAGCATGTATATAGGTCAAGTCATTAAGGAACAACAACAAAATTTAACACACCCTCATTAAGCAACAGTCTATATTAAAGTTTCCTCTTGAACTATAAAAAAAGCTGTAAGATCTATCCAAAACCAAAGTACAATTTTCCCTTCCCTCAAGTGATAAATAAGTGAATGGTGATATTATGTGTTATAACAATAGAACATATATGATATGTGCTATTGTTATGATTGTTCTTATATGATGAACAATATAATATATTGTTATATTATAAAATATATGAGAGTTTGTATCTTCCAAAGCTAATGCTATGAAATGTTCTAGATTCAAGAGGACAAACCTGCCTACTCATCTGAAGAAATTATTCCAATGAAAATAATTCAGAGTAATTTATTTAGTCACCGAGTTTTCAACTATTCTGACATTCTGCTATTCCACCTCTTCTGTTTGAAGCAAATATTGAAACATTAAATTAAAATTAAGATTCTTAAGGTCTTTCCAAATCCCTCAAAAATTTCTCTTTTTGAGAGAGAGAGATAATATATAATAATAAAACTGTTTCTCTGAAACATTAACTTCTTAGTTAGTAGTTCTTCTCCAGACACAAAATGCATCCTTTTGCAATTGTAATTGCTACATAAAATACTGCAAAAGTAATGCAGACTACTACCATTGAACTTCTTATTTACATGCTAATTTTGTACAATATTGTATTCATAGTTTGTGTTTCTACATTAGAGGCAAATTCATACTTTCTTTGTTCTCCTGCAATAGCACTGAGACTTATATTCCGCTTAAGTGCTTTACAGCTCTCTCTAAGCAGTTTACAGAGTCAACATATTGCCTCCAACAATCTGGGTCCTCATTTTACTGACCTTGGAAGGATGGAAGTCTGAATCAACCTTGAGACGGTCAGAATCAAACTCCTGAAGTGAGCAGTACTGCAGTACTGTATTCTAACCACTGCACTACCCTAGTTCTTATGATTCTGCTTCTGCAGCAGCTGAATACCTATCTAGACCCTCATGTATTAACTTACAAATAGGAATATTGTCCATGGGGTCGCGATGGGTCGGACACAACTTCACAACTAACAACAACAACAAATGATATTATTATACTTTTTGTTGCTGTTACCTCGGGAAGACTATGATCTGGAAAGGCTGCTAAGAGCAGAACATCTCAAAGATTTTTTTTCTTTTATTAGCACTTTTATTAGTGCAGTAAAAGTTACTGAAAGCAAAGCAGACGTGAAAAACCAACCAGCTCAGGAACTACACTTTTTAGAGAAATCATACCAGCCCTGAATAGGTGAGTTTTGCACATCCCTATAAATCTATTATACTAAGACAAAACTGAAACAGGATATTAAATTTGAAGAGTATTTGTTTCTCCATACTTGCGATTGTGATAAAAAATATATTGGCATTTTGCATGATTTCTCTTTTCTAAAGGCTTGATTTAAAAAAAAAAGATTTCAGACTATTATAACTTACTAACCATTGTATTAGTAGTTGTGAAGTAGGCAATCTGTATAATTTACCGAGTTCTATTATAGTTTAGTTACTAATGATTGGAGACAGCAAAGAAACAAAGGGTGGTAATGAATATCCTATACCATGTTGCACCTACCAGGGATTCTGGCTTCTCCTCACTATAAGCCAGACAAGGACATCTAAAATAAACAGTATATTAACATTGTTTTATTAACATTCTTCCTAAATGATTATTTTCACTAGAATATCATCTAATTTTTTAAAAATGGCATGTGACTACTATGAGTTTTTAAATTATATTATTCTTACCATTCAAACTAAGAGACATTAGTTGAAACATTAAGAAAGTCATTCATATTTATTTGTTTATCTGTGAAGGCTTTGATCAAATTTCAATCCCACTGCATGTACCTGACCTCAGCATCAACCAAAAATAAAAGAGTACCCCAAATTAATTAAAGTGACTAGGAAAAAGTAATTTTACCTGTAAATTGTTTTCTGTGACTCTGTTCCACCAAACCATATTGATGGGTACTCCTGTTTTACACCTGTCAGCCAAGCAGCCAATAGTGTTCTTTGATTTCCGTGCCTTTGATCCCACCGGAACTATCCTCTCTTCCAGCATCCCCAGTCGATACTTTCTTGGCTATGGAAAAGAAGGAAAAAAACCAGGGCACTCCCAGTATCCCTTAGATAGATATCTTTGGTTTGATTGGTGGAATAGGAAACAATTTGCAAGTAAAATTTCTAAGATGGTTTGCTTCCATATTAACTGCTATGACTTATAAAAGAAAGTTCACAGGGGAAGTATAAACAAAAACTGAATAACCTGTAGCATAATCCAATACATATCTATTCAACGTAAGATTTATTGAATTCCAAGAAAATATATTCAGGATGTATCATTTGCAAGGCCTAATTCAAAGAAGTGGAGCTTCCTTTTCATAATATTCTTACAAAATAAAATATCATTATTAGCAACCCTACATGCTTTGCTTTTCATATTCTTTTAACCAGGATAATGAATTTTTTTTTAAAATAATGAAATCCTGAAAGTTCCAGAATTGAAAATAGGCATTCAAATAAAACATCTTTACATTCTGTAATGATTTAAAGACATTCGAAATTTGAAGCCATTGGATAAACTTTTTTAAAAAGTACAAAATTGTCCATTTTGCAAATGTAGCTTTCAATCAATTCTAAAATTCACACAATATCTTATTACACTGATTTCTGCTAGCAGATAACATTCTGGTAAGCAAACATTTGTAAATTTGGAATCATACTTTTAAATATGCATATGCAATATCAAATAATGCTTTAGTATTGAATTCTAATTTGCTGTATAAAAATAAAATATAAAAACTAATCTAAAAGTAAAGTGTCAATCATAAAATCATCATACTTTTAAAAAAATTAGCCAGGATTAATAAAACTTGAATTTTCAATTTCAGCTGTAACATTCAGTTAGCCAATTCTAATCCTAAACCATATAAACATTATTTTTACAAAAATGTAGGGACAACCGAACAAAAAGAATAAAGAGTAAGGAAATATATTTATAGCATACCTTTCTTTAGAACCAAATCTAGATGTTTGTGCAATAAAATGCAGGTCTTCTGTCGAGAAATGCTAAGGCTTACACAGCATATAGTAACATAAAAGTAACTGAAGATTAAATCATGGAGAGCCTATTCTAAATGAAAAGAAATTGCAAAATGGCATAATACAAAGGGCTGGATGTAATTTCATGGTACCTCCTTAATCTTAATTCTGGCTCTCTATAATGTAATAGCAGAAATTGCTAGGACATATTGCTAGAATAGAAATCGAAAGAAATCATCAAACTAAAATCATTTGTATGTAAAAAATACTAGAGAGAAGGACAGATACAAAGATTCCATCGCTACTAATAAAATAAAGTAATGATTTATTAGTTTATTGTATTAGTTTGAGAAGAGATTCAGGGGCACTCCCTTCTTAACAGACACGTGTGAGATCTCAAACAATTCTATTGCATAAGTGGATTCAATTAATGAAGTTACCCAGAAGCTAAATCCTTGGTACCAGGAAAGATAACTTGAATTTAAAAAAATAAATAAATAAATTGTGAACTTCATATTACCCATCTATATAATACCCACAAACATTTATGGCACCAGAGAAATTATATATTCATCTAAACAAGGACCCAGGTGCTTTTTGATCATTCCTCGCTCATTGATGTAACTTCAGAGTGACTACTCATATTTGAAATACAGACAAGCCCTAAATAAATGATGCTTCTTTTTCTTTAAGGTTCTTCTGGATAAGAAAAAGACCAGAAGCAACTTCAATTTATCCACTTTTTATCGGCTTTACTCAGTAAAGCTGTATACATCCATCCTATGGTTATTTAGAAAAAATCAATATTTTGGTGTTCAAATTCATTCACACATAAAGCAAAGGGATTAAAGCCCAAAGGTTTTTCCTCTAAAAACCCTTCCCCCATTATTGTATATCTGTCCATGTATATGCACACAGACTCATATACACAAAATGTCTCCAAACATATTAATGCATAATGCAGTATATCAAATCCTATATGTATTTATTAAATTTGTCTCTGTTATAGCCTTGCAGTCAGTTCTGAACTCTGATTACAACAAAAGGGATACCATGGCTTTCGTGAATCCAAATGTACAATTTTTACCAGCTAATAGTTGGAAAATAGGCCAGGAATGCATGAATAATTCATGATAAAGAATAAAAGTGGAAAATTTCCAGTTCTCAAAATAAAGAATGGTAAAATACAAAGCATCTTTCTATTTTGAACCCTATAAGAGTGCATATTCTATGACTTATGTAATGATAATTATTTACTTACATCACCCCCATACATTATATATGGCAAAATTTAGTCTTATATTAAAAACTATAAATATATTAAAGAGTACTTATTACAGAAATTACGCATGTTGTGTCATTCTAGGCACACAAGTTAGCGTAATTCTTATATCACAGACTTCATTTTAGAATATTAGGAAGAATTTCAGAAAATATATCACCATATTATTTATTGATACTGACTTCTTACTCAATATCTGATACTGGGCAGTGAGCAGCAAGTTTTTTTTTAAAACAAAGTCTAACAAAAATTAAAACACCTTATATTAGAGCAGCACTCATACTCACATTATCATTAGCTTATATTTAAAACTTGTCAAATAAATATATAATAACTTCAACTGAAAGAAAAGAGTTTAAATCTGGCTATTCATTAAAATGGGCATAAATTGCCCCTAAATTAAAGAATATAAATAAAAAATTACCATATTATATGATATAAAATTTCACTTTATTTTATTAATTTGTGAGCACGTGAATAAGGTTCAAGTATAATACTTCGGATTACGTGTAAAATTCAATTCAACTGCAGCAATTTATATCACAATGCATTAAAGCATATCAACGGTAGCATCTGATTTAAAGGATATGTGTTTTAAGTTAAGCTTTCCTATATGTAGAAGTTGAAAACTGTATTCATATTAAATTTGTAGATTCAATGTTACTTGTGGAAATATCTGCCTATGTTAAAGAAAACAAAAAAATGTTCTTCAAAATTACTTTTACTTAAAATATATTCTCAATCAGGCAGTCCTTAATGAAATTTCATTTTATATCATAAAGACAAGGTTGGTTTAAAATCCTGACTTATAACTGACTGTCCTATACTATGTTTTTTCTAAAGCTACAAATGGAGGGAGGTATAAAAATATAACCTTCCCATTTATTTTTCCTTTTGAAATTATCTTCTCAACCACTCATTCATCAATTTAAAAAGTAAGGTGTACCTTGAACAAGCAATTCCGTATAGGAAAAAGAACATAACAGAGTGACATAAATAGCTGTTCTTCACTTTTTCAAATCTGCAGTGTTTTTATTAAAAAAAGAATACAATCCATCAGAGCAAGTTAATATGAAAGCATAATTGTTCAGGCTGCTTATTATTAAGGTTTGAGAAAATCCTATTAGTAACTGTTTGTCTCTTCACAGCACAGACAATGTTTGTCTCTTCACAGCACAATCATTTGCCTAAATTATAACTGAAGTTTCAGACTGAACCAGAAATTCAATTTCTGTTAGAATTCAGTAACCCAACTGATGTCCAGATTTATCCATATTTTAATCATTTGCCAAACAGATTACAGATATGTTAAAGTTGAAAATGGACAAGACCACTGATATTATATTTAAATATAATAAACACTGGAAAATTTTACAGAACAATTTTCAAAATAAATTTTGTAGAATAGAATGCTTCTTGTTAACCATGCTTTTTTTAAAGAGATCATCTGAAAATTCACATATATGGATTCTATGCTAGTGCAGACATGTATCTATTACAATTTCCTTCCCTTATAATATAGGTGCTAAAAAGTATGTTGTTGTATGCTTATTTTTGCTGGCTCTAAAAAATGATATCAAAATTATGGAAGGAGAGTAATAAAACAGAGATAGGGAAAGAGGCAAGGCAACGCTCTTATCAAATAATAAATGAAATTTTGGATGATCTGAATATGAAATCTTCATTTTGCCAAGTTTTGGGATTTGTGAAAGTGACTGGATAAGAAGAAATAATAAGATGAACTATGATTAGCCTTGTCAGCAGAATGTTAAAAAGATGCAATAGCGCTGTTCTTGTTTTGGCCATTATTGTATTAATTAATGAAACTGGAGACACACACACAGGGTGGATCCTGAAATCAGGATGTAGATGGGATTTGTTGAGTCTGTGGGTAGAAAAGACTAATATTGAAGGTTTGAATATCATTATCATTGTGAAGAAGTGGAAATACTCTTAAAAAGTCTCTTAATATAGCATCCTAACACTGAAGATCATTATAATCATGCACTACGCTGAAGGTGTAAAGCTGTTGTTATTACCTTTGGCAAGTTGAGATTTTTTTTATTTAGCCATCCATTATTTTCATCTGTTCATTCTCCTGAATCTTCAATTCTCAATTTATTACAAGGATTGAGGACAGTTTGTTCCAAGAGGCAAAAATATTTTTTAGAAGGATCAAAAGTACACTTATCAGTTTAGAGAAAGCAGCGCCAATTGTAAGTATTAAAACAGAAGATCCTACATCTATTGACCTGATTGCTTGACTTCCAAACCTAACACTACATCTGCTCTAGTTAAAAAATTATTCCCTGATGTCTGGTCCTATCCCTCTTAACTGTTCATAAGGTACTAAACCTATTTTATTTTTATTTTAGTAGGCATTTAAATCATAGCAAAGATATGAAAGTAGCTATTTAATTTAATTTAACTTCAGAGGATGGTAGAGGACAGGAAGGCCTGGAGGAACGTTGTCCATGGGGTCACAATGGGTCAAACACAACTTTGCAACTAACAACAACAATTTGATTTATGACTATGTAAACAATTTAATGGTACATTCTATTCTTGTATACCAAACAGAGTTTTTGTAGATTGGAATACTACATAAATGCTTTGTTAAAAAATATAACCAAAAATGCAAAGGATCTGCAAGCCCTAGTACTAAAAGTCAAAGAACCCAAAAATGGGATTAAAATTAAACACAAATTAATGATAGCAAAGTACACAACCAGCTTTAGAATTGACAATGAAGAAACTGAAGCAGTGGATAGCTTCAGCAATGGATATAAACAGCAAAAGAACAAGCAGTCAAGAAATATGCCACAGACTAGCACTTGGTAGAGCAACCATAAAAACCTTGGAAAAAATATTCAAGTGCCATTATTATGTCTATATCTACAAAGATCAGAATCATACAAGCCATGGCACTCTGTGGAAACAAAAATCAGGTTTCAAAGAAGCAAGATAGGAAAAATATTGCTGACGTTGAACTTCGATGTTGAAGAAAAGAAGGACTTGGGATGACATGCTAGCACTCTTCCAATATTTAAGGGGCTGCCACAAAGAAGAGGGGGTCAACCTATTTTGTAAAGCACCTGAAGGCAGGAAAAAAGGTAACAGATGGAAATGTATCAAGGAGAGATCCAATCTAGTACTAAGGAGAAATTCCCTGACAGTGAAAATAATTAATCGGTGAAACAGTTGCTTCCAGGGAAACAAGTTAGAGAGATTTTGTTCCAAGTAATGTTCAAAAACTCAATAATTAAGATAGCTGGAAGAACATCCAGGGATATTTATCTTCCTAATAATTCTGATAAAGATAATGAAAGAGATAATCTATGGTTCCTTAAGATAGCAGCTCTAGCTCTTTGCTCTTCAGCAGGTGAATATACGCTTGCCCAATCTGATATAAATCAGCACACACTGGAAAGTGAAAGTTGCTCTGAATGAAGCTAGCAGAATTATTACTGGATGCCTTAAACCTATCCCTCTAGATAAGATCTTCCACCTAGTCCGCGTTGCCCTGTGTGCTGTTTACAGAGAAGCAGCAGCATACAGAGAGAGGCTTAAATCATCTACATCTAGACAACACTCTCTTTATGGCCTACAACCAGCTCATCAGAGATTAAAACCTAGGAAAAGCTTCCTTGGGTCGATGGAAGACTTCAAACAATTTGAAAGCAGAATGAACTATGGAAAGCTACAAAGAACCAACACTGGATAGGACCAACAGAGGAGCTGGCATCTTGTCTGGAGAAAGCTGGGAATATGAAAATTGCTGAATAGACTGTGCATGGGTACAACAAGATCCAGAGACACTCTGAGTAAGTTTGCTTTAGGTTAAAAAGTAACAATTTCTTAACTGAAATACTTATTTAACACTAGCCACTGATAATATTACAGTATTAAAATTCATACTGAATGTTTACAAGTTATGGTACATAAAGTGAAGGAAACTTTGGGTCATTATTAAATAATTGAATAATTGTATTACAATATAAAGTTCACAAATGTGCTTAATATGCTATTAATAATTAATATTCAAACACTATTCATATACATCATTTTTATTATTTGGGTACAGAAATTATAATGTTTGGTGATACTTACTTTTCTTCTTTGAGATAAGCTGAGGGCAGCAAAATCATTAAACAAGGATGAACTAGGTGAAGTAAGAGGATCTGCAAAACAAATTTTATAAAAAACAAACCCAGAGATTTTATTTATTTACATTCCACTAAATAACTCAAGGCAACAAACATAGCCAGCACATCTTTTTCTTCCTATTTACCTCATAACAAGAACACTGTGAGGTGAGTTGGGCTGAGCTGGCTTTCATGGCTAAGGAGGAACCTGAATTCACAGTCTTCTGCATTCTAGTCTGGTGCCTTAACCACTAGACCAAACTGGCTCTTATCTTTCATGAGACATACAAAATGAATTTATTTCAATAGTAAAATTTTGCAAACAGAACTAAATAGACTTCAAACAGCAAGTTTATTCATACCTAAAGACTTTCCTCTTTAGTCTTGAGCCTTACACAACATTTTTATATCTTCACAATAAAAAAATTCTCTTTTTAAGACCCTGTAATCCCTTAATTCACAGTAATTTATGATAAACCTTTTTAGAATTATTATCATGTGCTAGGTATATATATCACACTTAACTGGATTTTCATAAAGGTGCTTTATTGAGTAAGTTAGATTTGGCTAAAGTCACCAGAGCTCTCTAACTCATAACTCAAGAACAGACAAATAGAAACTAGGACTGCATGTATTGTACAGAATCGGAGTGGGGTTGTTTCACCTCTGAAGCTCCTTCTCACAATTGTGAATATAAATAGAGTAATTTCCTTACATTTTGAGTCTGGAAGCAGCTCAAAAAACAGAGTTTTCATACTTTAAAAATTCTATCTTCTCTTTTTCAAAATCCATAAATCATCTCAGGTGGCCCCCATCCATTCTGAATTATCTCACTTACTATGGTTCTCGCTGTCCCAAATAATGAATACTTCACAATATAATCAAAGTAATATGGCATACTCTTGCCATAATGTATGGTGATTACTAAGTTACAAAACAAAACTTCTTGACATAACAAGCTATGTAAGCTCAAACAAACTACATGTCACTATTCTCCACAGTATTTTAAGAGCTAGGAAACTGGCTACTATTGGGAAATTGTTTTTTCTTCCTTTCTTCCTTCTCACTGTATCACTCAGACTTTTTGAAATTAAGCAACATATATATTGCAGAAAAAAATAAAGGCTTAGTGGGTTTTTTTGTTTATTTTTAAGTACAGCAGAACTAAATAATAATGAAAACAAACCTAGAAATAAAACAAGGTTTTTTCCTCAGCAAAATTAGATAGGCATCTAATTAAATATGTGATTATTGACGAAACATAAATTATTGCTAAACAAATATTCTAAAGATGTAAGTTTCCACTCTCCCAAGTGAGCCTAGTTCACTTCTTAATTTACCTGAGCCTTTTGACTAAAATAAAAACATAACTATTTCATTTATTTTATTTATTTTAAAAAAGACATGACTTTTGTAAACCTCCCATCAAGCACAATAGGTTCAAAAGTTTCTGGGTGATGAAATTCTTTGTTGTGTCAAATTCCTTTTAAATCTATGTCAGCAAATTACTAAATATTGCATATAAGATATTATATGAATAATAGCTTCTTAGATTATAGTCTAGGAATTGTAAATAAAATGGTGAAAATGTTCAATTACTCTTCTAAAAATTTGTTTTTACAAATATTGCTCAGTCTTTGGTCGTTTATTTTGCTGATAGCTTTTAGCATAGTTTCTGAAGAACTAGAGCAACTTTAGAACTTAATTCAACTCCTTTTATTAGCTATGTTTATCATAGATGACTGCTTTAAAGGATTTTAAAAAGAACTAATTATACCCACAATATAGCTTTTAATAATGTACAGAAGATAAGGAATGTTCATGACATAAAGCTTCCCTTCTAAATTATTTAAGTCACCAAAATACAATTATCTAAACTAAGAACATTTAATTATATATCCCTTAAATATAGTATACACTGCTGTCTGTTTTAGCATCATTTTAAGAATGTAGATATAGCAATTTCCCTAACCAAACCCATATTGTCGGCTGTAATAAAAGTGGCAATGAATCCCAGTTCATGTCTTCATGAACTATAAAATATTTCATTTTTCATCCCAAAATCTTAAAATACTTAATCTGTTTATTTAAATTGCAGATCAGCAATGTAAAAAAACAAAACTCAAAACACCAGTTCAAATTAATCCTAAAACAGTTTGTAATAAACAATTTGAAATGTATGAATTATGTAAATAATAAGGTTCTAAACCATATTTTTTTTTCTATAAAATAGCTTTAACATAATTTTAAAGCTTTCTTACCGTGGCCTGCATATGGCTTGGCACTGTCATTAAGAAGGCTAGGTGAACTGCTGCTATTTGTCATCCTCTGCAGAAAATGAAAAAAAAAATTGGATAGTGAATTAAGGTATTAAGACTATTTGCCTCCAGATGTCTATAACTCAAAACGGATTAACATGGATTAACGCTCACAGAATCACAGAGTCAGAAGGGATTTTAGAAGTCATCTAGTCCAAAATCTGCTCAATGAAGGATTCTTTGCAGTATTTCAGCCTCTGATTGAAAACCTCTTGTGAAGAACTCACTATTTCATGCAGCAGCTTTTTTACTTTCTGACAGCTCGTACAGTCAGAAAGTACCCCCTGCCTAACTTAAACCTACTTTGTTGTTGTTTTAATCCCAGGAGAAACATCATTAATTCACTTTACATCTTCAGAGTCTCTGAAGGCTTTACACTTTAACATCTTTCCTGAACATCATCTGAGAAAAAGCTCTTGGAGGTAAACTATTCCAAAGAGGAAAGCCATAACAGAGCCTTTGCCTGACTGATCATCCACCTTCTCTGCTATAACCTCTAATGGGCAAATTTTAGCTAAGAGTATAGGGTCTTGAAGACATACAAGCCCTAAGCATTCGAATGTACCCAGGAGTAAACTGACGATCAATGTAGCTCCCACAACAGAAGTCTTGACCTATCTTACCCCTGATCATTTTGAATCAATTGAACTCCTGAATCATGTTCAGGAGCTCCTCAAGGGAAAGTGAATTAAACTAGTTGAACAGTGAAGTCATAAAGACATGAGTGATTCTTGCTGATGCCTCCCATTACCAAAGAGATTTTTTTAACAATACACCAAATAAGTGATTACATTTAAAAAAAAAAAAAAAAAAAGTTCAATGTAGCTTCTTCAACTGAGGTCCACAAACTTTGGGTGTGTTTTTTTAGAAATTTCTGAAAGCCAGGAGTATAAAAATAGTATCTGCACAGCTCTAAGGAGAAGGTTGTTGTTTGCAGGAAGCAGTGCAAAAAGGGAGGAGAGGGGCACACCCAGGTAGGGATAGCTTCACAGAGCTGGAAAGAACATCCAGTATCAAAGTGGCCACTTTGGGAAGCTGCTGGAGGGAAAAAATGTTCCCTCAGCCACTTTCACTGTCATTAATACTGCTATTTATGGGGAATCCACACAAATTAGTTATATCAGGGAATTGTGGCATCCCAAAGATTGAAAGCCCCTAGAATTTAAGAAGAATTTAGTAGCTAATTAACATTTCTAACATTCAAACCAGAGTATTCAGAGACTCTGAATCATCGAAGTTATGACTGTTCCAGTATCTTCGTGGTCATGTGAACAAATTTCAGGTGCCTAGCAATCACCCCGCACTTACAATCAGTTGCAGCATGGTTGCCATTTGCACCCTATCCTGCCAGTTTCCCCCAAGCAAAGTCAATGGGAAGCAGGCAAAGAAGATTGCAAGTCACTAGGGTAAGTTTCCTTCTAACTGCCTATTTTGTTTGCATGCACCTGTTGTGGTCCGCCAGCAGCCTGCGGAGCTGGCAGTGGAGTCGGACAGTGAGGAGGCTGGGAGGACAATCGGCTAGTCCTGGAGTCAGGGAAAGGCCCAGACGAGGGCTCTGCGTTGGAGGCAGAGATGGCGCCAGAGCCATCAGGGAGCGATGTGCAGACTCTGGAGCCTCCAGAGGCGGATAGCAGAGAGGCAGAGGAACAGGAGGAACCTGTTCCTAGTGCACGCATGCAAAGAGCTGCCAGAAGGCAAGAGCAGCTACAACAAAAAGGACAACTTGGGAGTAAGGTAGGAGATGATTGGCCCCTCCCAGAAGGCTTAAAAGAGCAGCAACGGCTCTTGGGATCTTTGTAAGAAAGCAACATTGCTACATTTGTTTCTTGTTGTTGTCTCTTGCTTCTGAACTTCATGGAGTTTTTGCCAAGAAAAGCCTTTGGCAGGGTGCCAAAGAAGACAAAGGTTGGTGACAAGGCCGAAGGACTGTTTATGAAGAATTTGTTTTGGAATTAATTTGGACAAAGCTGAGAATGAAGTAATTCTCAGCTGTTCTAATAAAATATGTTTGTTTAGGTCTGATTGTGTCTGGTAATAACTACTTGGGCCTAGGTCACAACAGCACCACGGCATTCTTCCCCCATTTTCTCACCCATTTGCCCCCTTTCCTGGCTTCCCTGCCCTTGCACATAGATACTTTCACTGCCTGCACCCTCTTTCTATGACCTCCCTACAATCAGACATGCAATCATACACCCTGCATCCTCTTTCCATGGCCTCTCTGCACTTGAACATACATATGCTTGCACCCCATGCCTCCCTGAAATTGCAGATATGCATACAACTTGCATCTTTTTTCCTTGGCCTCCCTGTGATTACATACTTGAACGCTCATTCTCTTTCTTCAGCATCCCTGTGACTACACCCAGACACACACATATACCCTTTATTGCGAAGGTTGTTGAGAGTGTGGTGGCGCAACAGCTTCCCCGGTACCTGGATGAAGCTGTCTATCTAGACCCGCTCCAGTCCGGCTTCCGGCCTGGGCACAGCACGGAAACGGCATTGGTCGCATTGGTGGATGATCTCTGGAGGGCCCGGGATAGGGGTTGCTCCTCTATCCTGGTCCTGTTAGACCTCTCAGCGGCTTTTGATACCATCGACCATGGTATCATGTTGCACCGGTTGGCGGGGTTGGGGGGTGGGAGGCACCGTTTTGCGGTGGTTCTCCTCCTACCTCTCTGACCGGTCGCAATCTGTGTTGACAGGGGGGCAGCGGTCGACCCCGAGGCACCTTGCTTGTGGGGTGCCACAAGGGTCGGTCCTCTCGCCCCTTCTGTTCAACATTTATGTAAAGCCGCTGGGTGAGATCATCCGTGGCTTCGGGGTGGAGTTCCATCAGTACGCTGATGACACCCAGCTGTACATCTCCACCCCAGGCCACCCCAATGATGCCCTTAAAGTGATGTCCCAGTGCCTGGAGGCCGTGCGGGCCTGGATGGGGAGAAACAGGCTCCAACTCAACCCCTCCAAGACCGAGTGGCTGTGGCTTCCGGCGTCCCGATATAGCCAGCTGACGCCATCGCTGGCTATTGGAGGCGAATCACTCGCCCCCACGGAGAGGGCTCGTAACTTGGGCGTCCTCCTGGACGCACGGCTGTCGTTAGAAGATCATTTGGCGGCCGTGGCCAGGGGGGCTTTTTATCAGGTTCGCCTGATACGCCAGTTGCGCCCCTTTCTAGATCGGGACTCCCTACGCACAGTCACTCAGGCACTCGTCACTTCCCGCCTGGACTACTGCAATGCTCTCTACATGGGGCTCCCCCTGGGGTGCACCCGGAGGCTCCAGCTGGTCCAGAATGCGGCCGCGCGGGGGATTTTGGGGGCGACGAGGCGCTCCCACGTGACACCTCTCCTGCGCGAGCTGCACTGGCTTCCGGTGGTCTTCCGGGTGCGCTTCAAGGTGTTGGTGACCACCTTTAAAGCGCTCCATGGCTTAGGGCCGGGGTACTTACGAGACCGCCTTCTGCCACCAATAGCCTCCCACCGGCCAGTACGCTCCCACAGAGTGGGCCTCCTCAGGGTGCCGTCCGCCAGACAATGTCGGCTGGCGACCCCCAGGGGGAGAGCCTTCTCTGTGGCGGCGCCCGCCCTCTGGAACAACCTCCCCCCAGAGCTACGTACAATAACAGACCTCCGGATTTTTCGTCGGGCCCTGAAAACCCATTTATTCCAACTAGCTGGGCTGGCTTGAGTCAAATTTTAAATGGATTTTAAATTGGAATGTTTTAATTACGGCCAAAATTATTTAATTATTTTAAACAGTTTTTAGACTTTGTATGTTTGTATGTATGTCTTGTTTTTACTTTGGCTGTTCACCGCCCTGAGTCCTACATTGGAGAAGGGCGGTATAGAAATTTAAACAAATAAATAAAATAAATACCCTGCACTCTCTTTCCATAGCCTTCCTGCGATCACACACACACACACACACACACACACACACACACACACACACAGCCTCTTTCCATGGCCTCTCTGCAATCATATGCACCATGCACCATCTTTTCTCAACCTCCAGGCACTCGGACACATGCAATATCCCCATGCCCTCTTTCCACAACTTCCCTGCATTTGCACACATGCACACATACCCACATCCTTTTTTCTGAGCATCTCAATCACATATACCCCTGCAAGCTCTTTTCCATGGTCTTTCTGTACATGCCCAGGGCCTCTTTTCTTGGTGTCCAAATAAAATTAAGGGAATATCCTGGAAAATATTCTCTTATTGGATCTACAAAAGGGGTATGATAAAGCTGTGCAATTGGATAAGGAAGAATTTCAGAGAAATCAAGTTCTACAGCAATATTTGAGTGAATTAAAGATTAAGACTGGTAAAAGTAAGAGAAAGGAACACAAAGTTGGTTTAGCTGATCAAAGTTAAAATATTTTTTTCAATATTCTGGCAACAATTTATGGATTTTTGCTGGTACCAGGATTGAAAAGTTGAGGCTTTATGGATTTGCTCAGATATAAGGGGTGGATTATCGGATGAAAATATATCTGTTTAACTTTATAGGAGGTAAAGAGTTATAAATTTGTTTATACTTGTACTGATGAAGGTTGGAAGAAAATATATATTTTTAATACATTCTTTTCTTCTTTTTCCCCTCTGCACTTTTTATTATTTCTTTTTATTTTCTTCCTTTTCTCCAATTTTAGTTTGTACTAGTTTTCACCACTGTAATTAAAATTCTTGATAAAAAAAATTCTTGATAAAAAGTCTATTTTAAAAAAAAATTATGGGGGTATCCAGCACATAATACAATGTGATCAAATGGGTAATAAAAACAAAGAACCAACAATAGAAGATGCTAAAACTAGAAGCAATGCAAATATTTTTAAATGGCTTGGCTTGGTCTAAGAACATGTTCCAGGCTCTGTTTATCACTGCAAGGGCACTTTTCTTGGCAAGTGCTTATAATTTACTATGATTATTTTGTTCTTCTGTACCTTTTATGTTTTTTGTATATTTTAGTTCGTAGTAGTAAGCTGACTAAAATTATGTGGGAATGAGATATTCTATTAAATAAGTAACTTTTATATAATAGTACTCAGAAAAGGACATTTCCAAAAATGTCAATGGACATCTCAATAGACAGGCAGGCTGGTAAACAAAAAGATTTTCTTCCAGGAGTATAATTTATGCTAATGAAAATTTTAACAACCAAATTTTGTGCTAACTGAAGATGTTATATAATTTCCAAAAAAGCACTCTGCCAAGAGGATTCTAGATTAACATAGTTATAGTATTTTTTTGGTCATTACAGGTATACCAGCTAAATTCAAACAAGCAACATCTTTCCCACATTGCCCTAAAAATGATAGTAAAATATACTTTTTCTTCAAAAGAGTTCTATTTGTATCATTGAAGTGGGGTTTCCCATCTATGCTAAAATTCATTTACTGCTTCCATAGAAAAAAAACTGCAGAAATAACTTCAATCAGCAACAGACCAGAGTAGACACTCTATCAAATGACTCATTACCTGCATCATAGGATACTTTGATTCTGCAGGACTTCCAAACCCATTGACTCCAACAAAACTGGTGCTGAAATAGGAGTCTGTAAGACTAGCTTCAGCCAGGGCACTCCCATCTATACCCGGAACTAGAGATAAAAAGAGAAAAAAAGTGTTTTAAAGGCTATCAGTTTTGCAGATCTTTTCTTCCAACAGCATACAAATTTACATTCCAGTATCTATCTAAATACAGAGGGAGAAATTAAAAAGACCACATGCCAACAAATTATATCTTTTCATCACAGTAACAGGACTCTGGTTTATAGATAGTGAAGAGAACCAGAAAATGGAAATGGAGTATAACTGGTAATATCCGTAAACAAAGTATAAACAACAAAGTTTAAACAGAAATGTAAATTAACTGAACATTAGCATCTCTCTCACACTTCCTCTCTAATAGTAAAGAATCAGTAGTTCTTTAACAAGCAAAAGCAATTTGCTCCAACATCCAAATTACAAGTCTTTGTTTAATTATCAATTGATCTTAAGTAGATGGGGTCTATTTAATTCAAGAGGGAGCACAAAGAACAGTCTAAAATTAGCAGTCAAAAGAAATGAAAAGAAACTCCTCAATGTTGTATCAGATTAAACAGACTCTTAAACGCTTTCAAGATTGCCAGTTGAAATGCACATTTCATAATCTATTGAAGACAAGTATTTCTTCCTATTACAGGTAGCCCTTGACTCACAACCACAGTTGAGCTCAAAATTTCTGTTGTTAAGTGAGACAGTTGTTAAGTGAATTTTGCTCTACTTTACTATTTTTCTTGCCACAGTTGTTAAGTGAATCACTGCAGTTGTCAAGTTAGTAACATGATTAAGTGAATCTGGCCTCCCTGTTGATTTTCCTTGTCAGAAGGTTGGCCCCGTTGCTTACCGGTAGTAAAGGTAAGTAGAACCCACCCCTGGTAGTGCTTCTCTGACAAATGGAGAGTAAGGGAAGAAATGAGACTTATTGAATATTGTAGTGGATGCAGTAACCTGCAGAGCCTACCTCTATGTCCACAGATGAACCGCCCACAGCATGTCTTGTTCAAACATTAAGGACTACTGTATTGTAGCCTGTAGATTAGACGCTGACTCAATTATGTACAGGTCTGAAGGCAAATGCTGTCTACTAATGACAGCAAGAGAATGGGATTCAGACTAAGAATGGCAGACTTCACAACTGTTATTAGCTCTGTGTCCTAGCAGTAATGAGAATTTTAAGAGTAGAGTTCCTGATTAGACCTCTGACTCAGCCCTTTTGATTAAAATAACAACAACCTGAAAATAGGGTAAAATTGGCATTGGAAGTATAGGCAGAAGAGTCAGGATGTTTTATTTCTATTTGAAGCTGCTTTGCTCAGTTGGATTTGCTTAAAATAAAAAGGGGGGGCAATAAAGTCTCCTTCAAATCAAACTCAACTACTGTTAACTACATAGCCATATTTTCTTGGCAACAAGAAAATTCTTAGGTAACTCTTCCAGGATTTCTTTTTTTTAACTCTGCAGCCTAATCTACAGCCCTGTGATTTCCTGATGGTTTCTCATTTGAGTTTTAAGCAGTTCTGAGTCTACAAAGCTGTTTCAAGACCAGGCAAGATTAACTAGATGCTGCCATCCTCACTGATTAAGAAGAGTTATATTCAAGTAGAAACAGGATCTTCAAATCCAGGTGATAATGGGCTAGTGGGTGGGAACAATATAATAAGGCAAAGGTTTCCCTGTTCAGTTGTGTCCGACTCTAGGGCATATGTCCAACAATGAAATGATTATATAAACCCAAAATCTAGTTTCAGTTTCATATGTAGAGTGAAGAATAATTATCATCAACTAGAGCAGGGCTGTCAAACTCCCGGCCCGCAGGCCACACTGGCAACGCCCATGCCCGGTTTAGTGAAGGGGAAAAAAGTCCCAATATATTACATGACACCACCATGACGATGTGAGTTTGACACCCCTGAGCTAGAGAAAAATATTGCAGGCAATACAAGAAGGCCCATTAATGGTATATTTATTTTCCAAACTATATAGATTTCATTAACAATTTTGAATGTTTAGCTAAATATATATTTTTTTCACATTTGTTTCAATTAAAGGGCAAAATTATTCTATCTGATGAAAGTATACTGGGTTGTGTTTAGTTTTTAGCATTTTAGGGGCTCAAGTTACATTGATTCAAAGGCATTTCTCCTTTCAAGCAGGATTTTTTAAAAAATAAAGGAAAAGAATGCATATTTTAAGTTTTAAAAGCAAAATTATACAACTTAATTTTGTATTATATATAAATTATGGTTACACCTTAGATTACAATCTTTAACACCCTTGACAGAAAAGTCCCAGAAATTGAGACTGTATTCCAAAAAATTCCTGGATGGGGATCAGTATAAAAACTAATTCTGGTTTAATTTGCATTTAATAGAACTAAATGTAGCTAATATGAGTACTTTGCCGTTATTCTTTTAATATTCTTCCATCTTGAAAATCTTAATTCAGCAGAAATCCTTAAAACAGAGTATGCTCTTGAATGTAAGGAGGCTTCTGAAAGAATATTATCGGTAAATAGTTAAGTAGCAGAGTATCCAATTTAGGACAGAAAAAAGGAAATATTCATAGTTTGAGTATGAGCTTAGCTAAGGTATCAATGAATGCAGATGACATTCACTGTATTTCAATAAAAGTAAATTTATATGCCCCACTTCTGTTTAAATTACTGTACATCCTGAAGAAAAAGCAGAAGAGAGGGTCAGCCAGGAAGTTTCTTTCGTTTTTAAACACAGATTTGTTAAACAGACCAGCTGAGAGATAGTATGCTCAATTCAAAGCATGGTTATCATTCTTCAAAGCCTTGCATGGCACAGTGCCCGGTGGCTTATAGGACTGCCTATCTCTGAGGGTATCTGCTGTTTCACCAGGTGCAGCAGGACAAATGTAATCCAGATCCCTGTATTGAATGATCTCATATTACAGAATCAAGGAGGGATCCTTCTTCTGTTAACACATCTGCCGTAAAGAATACCCACCCACCCACTTCCTCAAGACTGAGAGAACCCTGACCTTTCTGTCCTTTCAGAAAGCTGTGGAGACCTGGCTTTTCTCTCAACTGCTGTATTGGGATTTTATATAAGATCAATATAGGTGTCGTTTGTGTGGTTAGGTCTGTTACAACGTGTCTTGACCATAGCAATATGATTACTTTAATTCTGGTTTCTGCTTGATTTATAGAGGTTTTATTATATTGGTTTTGCTGTTCCCCACCCAGAATTCATATGCAAGATGAACAGCCATATTTTCTAAAATAAATAAAAATGATCATAAATCCTCCACAGCCATTGGATATCAATGTCATTTACTGCTGAATTAATCTTTCTTTCCTGTGATAATTGAATTCCGCACAATTTTTGCTGCCTTCAGTCATTACCATGGTGTCAGTAAATTCCAAAGTTATTTAGAAATTTGTAAACCCACATGGCTTTGCAACTAGCTTCACTAGCTGAAATGTGCATGGCCCTGCTGGAGGTCAACACTGCAGCAGCTTGTCTTCTGTCAGTGCAATTGATTTCTTCACCCCTCCAGAAGATCAGGAACTGTTTATAAACTTGCTGTTAGCTCTAACTTCAGCCCAATCTGCATCCATATATCCAGTTAATTCAGGGCTACTGCTTGCTGTCACTTTTATCTAAAGTCAGTGGGACCCTTGAGGCATTTTCCCAGCCTCTTGACTACAGTCCAGTCATTTCACGTTGGTGCAAGGAATTTTCTGTAACAAATTTACACTGTTGTAGAAGTTTCTGGTCTAGTTATTGACATATACAGCATCTTGCTAACCACTTTGTCAAGTTGTTCACTGTTCTCTTTCCTTTAAAAAATTAGTTTCTATAGGTAAGTAAATTTACCTCAGTCAGTTTTAGGCATTCTAAGGCCCTATGATCATGTTTCTGGTTTAAGCAGATTACATTTTTCCTCATCTTTTTCAATTTGTGCTTATTTATTTATTTATTTATTTATTTATTAGATTTCTATACCGCCCTACTCCCGAAGGACTCAGGGCGGTGCACAGCCAAACAATAAAAACACATACAATACAAAATTTAAAAAATAGAATAAAATCAAATTAAATAATTTTGGCCCCGACAAATTTAAAACCCCAAACTTTTAAAACCAATTTAAAATTGAATATATAAATACTAAAAAATATTTAAAATTTTAAAAATCTTTTATAAAAGAGGGGGAAAATTAGGCCAGGCCGGCCTGGTGAAATAGTAAGGTCTTTAAGGCGCGGCGGAAGGTGCGCAGATCCGGGATCCTCCGTATCTCTGGGGGGAGCTCGTTCCAGATAGTAGGTGCCCCCACAGAGAAGGCTCTCCCCCTGGGGGCCGCCAGTCGGCATTGTTTGGCTGACGGCACCCGGAGGAGCCCCTCTCTATGGGAGCGTACCGGCCGGTGGGAGGCTATTGGTGGTAGTAGGCGGTCCCGCAAGTACCCGGGTCCTAAGCCATGGAGCGCTTTAAAGGTGGTAACCAAAACCTTGAAGCGCACCCGGAAGACCACCGGGAGCCAGTGCAGCTCGCGCAGGAGAGGTGTTACATGGGAACGCCATGTCGCTCCCATTACCACCCGCGCGGCCGCACTCTGCGCCAGTTGGAGCCTCCGGGTGCTCCTCAAGGGGAGCCCCATGTAGAGAGCGTTGCAATAGTCCAGGCGGGAGGTGACAAGGGCATGAGTGACCGTGCGTAAAGAGTCCGTGCTTCAAGATAATAAGAGATGTTGCCAATATCCTTCACTGCAATTCCATTATTATTATTATTATTATTATTATTATTATTATTATTATTATTATTATTATTTATTTACTTACTTACTTATTTATTTATTTAATTTTTATACCGCCCTTCTCCCGAAGGACTCAGGGCGGTGAACAGTCAAAGTAACATACATATAAAAATGTGAAATAAAAACAATTTAAAATAATTAAACCAATTTGGCTCATCAGTTAAGATCTTCAGCATAAAATTTAGACAATTAGAAAAATTTATGCCAGCCTGGCTTGGTGAAACAGAAAGGTCTTAAGTGCACGACGGAAAGTACAGAGATCTGGGATCATTCG